CCAGGAATTCCATAGTGAGGCCCAGTCTCACAGTCTGAAGAGCCCAGGCATCTGAGGTTGTGGCTTCCCATTGGTGGGCGAAGGTAGTCAAGCACCTGCCAATAGGACCAATCTCTAGCGAGTCACCGGTACCCACGGAAGGACCGGTTGTTGGCACCACGAAAAGGCCGCCAGGCCTCGGTCTGCTGTTGATGCTGGTTTCTACCTCTGACCCTAGTATTGGCTCTGTCCTGAAACCTGTCCTGAGACTGAGAAAAGGATCTATTAGATAGAGGGGTATAGGAGAGTGGGGAGTACCCTGAATCCCCAACAAGCATTCCGTGGGGTCAAGACCCACTTCGGTGCTGGCCTGGGTGGTTGTTTCCCCCAAATTGGAGGTGGCCTTGGCCTTATAAAGTAGGGATTTAAATAGGGCAGTCTGAAGAGGCCCGAGAAGGGATCCTGGATCAGACCTTCATCATCTGATAATTCTAGATCCAAAATTTCACCTTCCTCCCCCAAAACAGATCCCTCGCTGTAGATGGAAAGCAAAGGAGAAGGGGGATCAGCCTGAGAGGTGGCTAAATCTTTGGCAGAAATCAAGTTCCTAGAGCGCTGACTCCTATGCTGTAATTCTGTGTCTACTCCTCTAGATATGGCAGTGGCAATCATGTCCTGAGCCCAGGAGAGAGGTCAAATTCTGAATTGTCCTCCGGTCTGCTGCCAGAGGCAGTGGGGGTAAAGGTGGCTGAGGCCCCTGATCGGGAAGGAGCTGGGCCTGGGCTGTAGTCAGAAGGATCAGATGAGCCCTGAAGGCCTGAGTCAGGCCCTTCAGTGGTTATGTCCTGAAGGATAGGGAGGTCTGGGGATCAGCCCTGAATCCCAGTTAAGCTGGAGGTAGAAGGCCCCTCCGGCAGCAAGATGGGAGGTGGCCTAGGGGTTGAGGGATTCTTAGACACATTCTTAGTCTTACTGGCATGCTTAGCGGCCCTGGCAGGAGCCGCTGAAGTGGCGTGAGATCTGTGGTTGGCGGCCCTGGTGGTGGTTCTATACACTGGCTGAGGCCCCAGTGGCACCGGAGGACAACTGAGGGGAGGTGGAAGCCCCAGCACTGCCCCAGGTAGTAGAACGATCCGTCATGCTAAACTAGGTTGAAAGGGCTCAAGCTCACATTCAATGATAGACAAAATGCTGATCGCAATCGAAGCAGGAGACCGCAAGAGATCAAGCGTGTACTCCGGTAGAATGGTGGCGAACCGATATTGGAGCAAGAAATCTGGTGATTTTGCGTTACTGTGGGCGGGAAAATGAAACCAAGCCCAGGCTGACTGTTTTTCGGCACAAAATGGACTCAAAATGGCCAGTCTCGTAATTCGCCAGTGACCGCAGCCACGGCTCTCAGATGCGCTTGATGGCCGAGGTAAAGACAGCGAACCCAGCTATATGGTGACAGGGCATCCAGATTCCACACGTCACAAAGCAAACCTCGGGAAAACAGCATAGAAAGGGTAGAGTGGCCGGCACGGGGCGGCAAACCAATCCCCAACCACGGCAAGACAAACAAAGGCGGCGAACCGACCTTCCAACAAATATCGCCGAAGTGACTTCACTTCCAAGGAGAAAGGTTCCCTGGCCCCAAAGGCTCCAGGAACGCTAACATCCAATTGCTACCTTAAACAAAAGGAAACGAACCTATATGCAGAGATATCTGATGTTCCGTGATAAGAGCTCAAGCTGTTACACAGAGTTCTAAGGGAATCCAAGCTGATTAATAATGATTTTGTCTAATAACCTAGAGAAATGTTTTTGCATCTCTTTAGGCTGGACTGAGTTAAAAGACTGAACCAGTCCAGTCAGAGGAGGCATGGCCATCAATATGCATAATTCAGTCTCTAGGCTAATGGACAAAGTTAACCCATGCTTGGATTCCCCAAGCAGAGCACAGAAGTTGTGCCTTTCACTTCTTAAATACTTTACAGGTAGTCGACTTAAGTTCATTTAATGACTGTCCATCGTTACAACAGCCCTGAAAAAGATATGATTGTTTATCACTTATGATCATTGCAGTATACCCATGGTCACATGATCAAAATTCAAAAACCTGATGCATATTTATAATGGCTGCAGTCCTAGGGTCATGTGATTGCCTTTTGCGACCTTCTGATAAGCAAAGTCAATGGGGAAGCCAGATTTACTGAACAACTGTGTTACTAATTTAACAACTGCAGTGATTCACTTAACTATGGCAAGAATTCATAAAGTGGGACAAAACTCACTTACCAAATCTTTCTTAGCCACATAAATTTTGGACTCAATTGTGGTCATAAATCGAGGACTATCTGTATTTATTATATTTACTAAGCTAAAAGGTCACAACCTGTTACTCCTTTTGAAGATTAGAGCTATTTTGGGGACATTATTGTTGAAGGATAAAGAGGTGGTTTGTTAGAGGTGACCTAAAATAAGTGTGTATTTTTTTCTTTCACCGTTTTCATCAATTTGCCACCTAGGACATTGAGTTATAATTTTTGCTTTTGTATTGTTTGCTGTGGGAAGCTGACATCATTTGATTGCAAAAATTATTTTGGGAGTATTTAAACAAAATAATTCACTTGAACTATGTTCCAAAAAATCCAGGAAAGAGGAGCAAGGATGTTAAAAAGATGCATTAGAACTTATTTAAGTTATAGATGAAATGTTAGTCTTAAAATGAATATTAAAAATGTTAAATTTGAATGGGTATGATTTTAATATGTTTAGAAAGATTAAGTGTAAACAGATTATTATATATAAATTATATATATATATATATATATATATATATATATATATAAATTTTCCCATAATGGGGGGGGAAAGAAAAAATGGATTTGGTTAATAATGCAATGTAAACTGTTTTAAACAAAGAGAATTTATTTGATCTTGTTTTTTCTACTTTTTCATTTTTTTTAATCTCCCCCTTTTTAATCTTCATTTTCATTGCATTTTATTCTCTAGTAAATGTTAATAGAATTTTCAAACTAGTTTGAAACTATAACCTTCCTAGTTTGAATGGCAGGGAATGAAGACAGGATATTCGGGGACATCATTTTGTTTGAAAATGCCATTGCAGTGGTATAAGATGGCTTGACATGGAAGTTTCCATGATATATCTCAGGAGTTTCCAAACTTGGCAACTTTAATACTTGTGGACTTCAATTCCCATAATTCCTCAGCCAGCCATGCTAATATATTTGTAAAGTATCTCCACCTTATTCAGTTAAAACTATGTATATAGGGGTTCTTTGGTTTCGCTTGATACTACATGGCAACCCATATTGCAGCTCAGGCAAACAATATGAACAAATGCAAGTTGCGGAAAAAGGACAAAATACAAGTAGTATTTGTTTATTGTCCACTTGTTCAGCAACTGAAGTTGTGATGGTCTTGAACAACGGATATTTACAACAGGTCCTCAAAGTTGAAGCGGCTGTAACATCTCCATGGTCATGTGATTGCAATTCAGGACACTTGGAAACTGGCTCACAATTATGTCACACACAGCATCCCAGGTACATACCAGCATTTGCAACCTTCACAACTGGCTTCTGGACAACAAAATCAGTGAAGAAACCAGTTGAAGGTCAAAAATAGCCACCACATGACTTGAGAGATGCTGCAGCCGCGTGGGATTCAGCTAACAAGGGCAATAGCAACTACCAGAGTGGTTGTTAAGTTGGTGCAGCCAAGTGTCATTGTGCCTTACCACTGCATTACTTAACAATGGGGGGGGTTCCCAGTTCCAATTACTGTTGATAAGTGACAACTACCTTTACAATGCAACAAGGTCGCTCAAAAAAACTAGAATTTATTCCAAACTTGCTCGATAGCAAAAAAAAAAGGGCTTGGTGCATCTTCAATACAAAATTCCAGTTACAAGCATTTCATTATATTCCATATATCACAGACTAATACTTCATAAAGACAAGGTATATTTATTCACTTTACAAAGGAGAGCAGCATTAAGTTGCAACAGCTCCAACAAATTAAACTGTACATTATACAGATGAATGGCTCAAAAACTTTACCCAATTGTTTATATTCAGCTTAATTGAGCTAATAGCAACCCCATTCTTCCCAAGATTAAAAATTCAAAATAAATGTATAAGTTTTGTGTAACGTTATTCACAAGTCTCTGCCCTCCCAATTTTCATTATTTTTCTGCCTCCAAAGAACTCTCCCTGGGTCAGCAAATAAATTTATATACAAGCGCAAAAAAACCAAAAAAGTTAGGTTAAACACAAGTCCTTTTTTTAAGTACATGAAAAATGACTGATTTACACACAAATATATAAAAAAGTCAGTTTAGTCTGAAAACCTGGTTTGCAATGTATCATTGCCAAGGTATGAATAATTCTCTTATGCGAGAATGGATGTTGTTGTGGAGGAAAGAGGAAGAACTACCCAGAAATTTAAAGTAATGTTTTTGAGTCTTACAAAAATATTTAGTTTCTTCCAAAAAATTGTAATAAGATGCCAACTAAGAAAGTATTTAACTAGAGCAGGGTAAGAAGATAAGAGTGGTCTTCAATCCATCAGAACTTAAAACAAGCTGCAATAGGGTCATCACCCAATGGGGATCGATAAGCTATTAGACTTGAGCTGTAAAAGAAATATCCAAATAAAAATAATAATTTGCTTGCTATATGGAAGAAAGTTGTTTCACTGTGATCCCTAGAAATATAGAACTGAAGAACCATGGCATCGTGCTCTCCAGATTTGGAAACAAAGAGTTTTCCAAAAAGCCATCAGATATATTAGGAATCAAGTGTGCACTCCTTGTGTGAATCCAAGTGGCTTCCCGCATGGCAATCCAGAAGTGACACATTTTGGTAGCCAGCTCCCAACAAGTTTTCTTTTTTTAAACAGTGTGCTATTCTTCTTCACTAATCAGTGGAACAGCTTGCATCCAGAAGTTGTGAATGCCCCAACACTGGAAGTCCTTAAGAAGATGTTGGATAGCCATTAGTTTGAAACAGTATAGGGTTTCCTGCCTAGGCAGGGGGTTGTACTAGAAGACTTTCAAGGTCCCTTCCAACTCTGCTATTGTATTGTACGGTATAGCATTGTACTGTCATTGTCCGGATCCAAATCTGAATCTCCATTGATTTCTTTTTCTATTGCCATTTCCTGCTCATCGTCCGACTGTTCATCCCTCTCATTGTTTTCCTCATCTTCTTTCTCTTCATCTTCATCCCAATTTTCCTGTAGGAGACAGAGAACATCACAAAATATGCATTCACCATAATCATTTTAACCTCTTAAGTATGTGAAGAAAGACATTGAACTTTACTTACATCTGAATCTCTCTCTGCAGCCATTTCATCATCTGAACCATCGTCTGATGATTCTGTCAATAAAGAGCACCAATGTGTGATATTTGTAATTAATGAAAACAAACATGGCCCAGCAAATAAAGAAAATGGCAACCCAAAATGTGTTTGAGAACTTCTCATCTATAGATCTTTGAGTGTATCTCATCAGTATACCTACAGGGAGTCCTTGCTTAATACAGGTAGTCCTTGACTTGCAACAGTTCATTTACTAACCGTTCAAAGTTGCAACAGCATTGAAAAAAGTAACTTATGATCATTTTTCATACATATCACCATTGCAGCATCCCCAGGTTCATGGGATCAAAATTCAGAAGCTTGGCAGTGTCATGTAACCTTTTGTAACCTTCTGACAAGCAAAGTCAATGGGGAAATCAGATTCACTTAACAACAATCACTGACTTAACATCACTCAACAACTGTGGCAAGAAAAATCGTAAAATAGGGCAAAATTTATTTAACAAATGTCTTGCTTAGCAACAGAAATTTTGGGCTCAATTGTGGTCATAAGTCAAGGACTACCTGTAATTGCCCTCTTTAGCAACTGTCTGCAATTATGATGGCACTGCAAAAAGTAACTTTATTATCAGTCCTCACTTTTACGACTGTTGCAATGTCCCTGTAATCATGATTGACGTTTGGGCACTTTTCATCCAGTGGGTGCTTACAACTGTTGCAGCATCTCATGGTCACGACTGCCATTTGCAAGCGGCTTCTGACAAACGGTCTCAAGGGCAAAGCTGGCAGTAAAATCACAAGTGTTGTCTGACTTAGTGACCATATTGCGTAGGGATAGAATTGCCAGCCCCAATTATAGTTGCAAGGAGTACCTGTATTTGTTTTTAACTCCTAAGAAGTCAGGTCTTAAGAACTCAAGGATCCTGAAAAGACCAATGGCTACATGCTTTTTTGAATCTTTGTAATATTAAAATGGGACAGATTAGATATATATTCCAACAAACCCATTTGGTTTTCTGAGATAAATGTATAGCACTATTCCTTTCAACAGATCTTTAAATATATTTTTAAAATTTATATTATCACATTCACAATTTGCCCATATCCTTCATGGAGCAACTCTAGTCAGTGCAAATATACACTGAAGTAGGGCACATACGTTACAGTGTCAAATTTGGGCATGATGATAGCACACGGTAGAAGAACCCCCAGATACTTTCTGCAAACTAGCAACTCACCTTAAATAAGCCAACCATAAAACCTCCACAGTTTTCACTTTGTGTTTTGACCGAATATTTAAGCATTTTAAAATTACACTTTATTTAGTAAATGAGGTAAGGAACCTGTACTTCTTCTGCTTTGAGCCTTCAATCTCCATCTTTAATATAGGCAATCCTGGATTAAGAACATCCTTCCTATAGATGGGCTGCCCATTATTAAAAGTGGTAGACATCATTGTTCTTCCTTGAGCCAACAAACCACTGAAACCATTCAATCTTTTTAATGAACCGCTGAAGCCATGCATTTTTAATGCATAGCCTGCCTTCAGAGGTTCCAAGCAGTTCATGAAAATATTACATGGCTTCAGAGGTTCATCAGCTTAAGGAAGGAGAACGTCATCTGCCATTTTAGTAATAGGCGGCCCATTCGTTAAGTACGAATTCAAACTTGCATACAAATTCAAGTTAAAAACAGGAACAGAACTTTTAATCCAGGTGATTGTCTGCATAGGCAGTCCTCGTGTACTGACCACAATTGGGGCTGGCAATTCTGTCACTAAGTGCTATGTTCCTTGGCAGAAATATCACATGTCCACACAAATCACCATGGCTGTTAAGCGAGGCATCATGATCATGACTTTCAATTTTACTTCCAGAGACAGAGAGACAGAGAGACAGAGAGAGAGAGAGAGAGAGAGAGAGAGAGAGAGAGAGAGAGAGAGAAAGAGACGCCCTCGCATGGCCTCCTTTATATAGCTACCTCTTAAAATGATAGACTTGTATGGACCCCTTCACAATCTTAAACCTTATCCTCATTGCATCAGCCTTACATTTGCTGGTCAGCTTTAAATCATCATTACCCTGACACATTCAATTTTAAGTGAGAAGATTCAACTGAAAAGACGCTCAACTAAAAAAATAGAACCAGAAAGTAAAAAAGAATACACAATTTTGAAGGGTCCTGGGTGCTCTCTGATGTTAGTTAGTTTGGATAAACATCTGCAAGAAAACAACCAAGCTCAGCAATCACCAAGGACCCCCTCATTTCAAGCCTGAGCTACAAATATTCTCCTTTAATAATATACTCTTATTTTCTAATTGATCCAAATTGATTAGTACCAAATTTCTTTTGCTTACCTTCTTCATATACTAGTTTTGCAGTCTGATCAATATCAGGCACATCCTGAACCTGTTCTAGTGCAGCCACCTAAAAAAAAAAATTTGGTATCAACAGAGATTGTAGCTAGGCCATACAGCTTGTGTTGAATTCAAATTATGGTACATCAAATAGAAATGATTAACTATGTACAATTTTTGAAAAGTGCTATTCTGTACGCTATTGTTAGTTTGTCAAACAATGAAGTTTTAATTCCAATAAAGTAACATAATTTTTAAATTATATTTTCACAAGTTTAGTAATACCTGATTTTAAATTGTTAACACTGTAAATGCAACATTTGTATGTTTTAAGTAAAAATATTATTATACACTATTGTATCAAACATCTTTCCAAAAACTCAAAATATATATTAATCTATAGCAAGTGATGAAGGCATCTTACAAACTAATGATGTCACTTGACCTAAACTTTTTAATGTCTATGACTAGAATCAACATTACAAAACAGGCTCTAACTAACTAAAGCTTCTATCTAAATGCAGCTGAAAGTGACAGCGCAACCACTGTCCAGTGCTGCATAGGATAGTAACGAAGTACATATTGCAGGGTAAAAAAAAGATAACTGAAGCTCCAACCCAAATATTAAAAGTGATTGCTTTTTTCTGGCATTAATAGATTGTCTCTCTACTCAAAAAATGAATTTGCTTCTGCATTAATAGGACTCTGCAACATCTGTACAAACTACAAGTTTTATATTTCACTACAACTGAACTGAATCAACTTTGGCATCAAGAAAAGAAATGGCAGCTGCTACTAAATTACAGCGAACAATAGCCATTGAAGATAAAAATGTTTTAATCTATTTCTTTTCCAACAAAATGTCATTATAGGCTTGTTTTATTTAATTCATTAGATTTATGTTCTGCCTATCAATAAATATATAATTAGGTAGCCTTATGGAAACATGAATACATATGTTCTTGTGCTTTAACATTCACCTGAAAAGATAACTCTAAATTTATTTTAATCCCTGAAAATTAGAACAAATAAATTTTGTGCGCCTTCATCATTGTATTCTCAGTGAATCTGTAAAACTGCTCTACTGAAACAAAATTATACAGGTCTCTAGTGGGATAAAAGGCTTGTGAAGCAATGCCTTCAATTAAAGATTGAAGACATCCAAGTTCCCTGGATGTCTTAACAATTTCTCTTTTTCCAAAACTGGTTTACTTTTTATAAGAATTGTTGAATTATCAAACGCACAGAAATTCTCAAATGGTCAACAGGAAGCTACCCTTAATGTTGGAAATCACCTTTTATATTTGAAAATTATGCATAACTATACTATTCCAGGGAAAATTACCATACACGAAAAACTTTCTAAGTAAGACTGCTACAACACTGATCATATGTAATTTCATTTCCCCCCAAATCACTGAGAAAGATCACAACTTCTTTCATGTTATAAATTCTGGCAAACCCTCCCACATTTGATAGAAGATCTCATTGTTATTAGTAACATTCCCCCATTCTATGTTCATAACAACACTCTTTCTGTGGAGCAAGATTATTAACTTCAACTTACTTGAGTGATAATAAGATACAGTTTTCCATGCAAGCGAGATAGCTTTTGCAAAGTTTTTACTCTGCTTTCCATTAACTCATATAATGTTCCAAGCTGGGAGGCTAGATCTGGCAACTGTGATGGGGATAAAGAGAAAAAAGAGAGAATAGTCAACAGAGAACTATGAAGACATATGCAAATGTAGTCCTAGGCCCGTGATGGCGAACCTGTGGCACGCAGAGCCATTTACGAGGGTAGGTGAGGCATTGCCCTGTCAGCTCCAGCATGGCCATCTGATTTTCAGCCTTGATTTTCGAAGTCAGTTCGGGGATGAACTTGCTTAGACTGCCCGTTTAGTGATTGCCTATCTTACTACATAATTTTTAAATGTGTCATCTGAACAATTAAACACCTTACCTCATCCTATTTCAAATTTGTCAATTTTTTCATCTTAGAGGCAAAAATCATATTGCCATATTATGCTCTTAACATGATATTCACTTATTATTAGTGAACTTTGAAACAAGAGTAACATGTTATACAATGACAACTGTGTAAGGAATTCACTTTAAACAAAAGAATTCAAGCAGCATAAATTCAACACGAGAAGGGGACAACTGTACGCAGAAAACTGCATACAATGAAGCAAAAGGCAATTCATGAAATCTAATTTCCTCTCCTCTCTGTTTTTTGCTCTTCTAGAAGATTTGAATCAATTCTCCTTTATTTTAACAAGCCTATGCAATATAGTCAGACTAGTAAAGAAGAATTCGATGCTCTGAAAATTATTAGGAACCTTGTGGTGCTAAGCTTGGTTGTTTTCTTGCAGACATTTCATTACCTAAACTAGATAACATCATCAGTGCTAGGACTGATATTACCTCATTTGGGTAATGAAACATCTGCAAGAAAATAACCAAGCTCAGAGAGCACCGAGGACTTTTCATTTCTACCCTGGACTACAAATATTCTCCTTTATCAGTCTGGAAATGCCTTTCTTTCATGCATCCACCAGATGAAACCAAAATTGTAAAAATCCCTGTGTATCAAAGTACTTACCGTTGAAAGGTAGGAGGCATGCATAGTTAGAACAGGTTTTAACCATCGAACCATTTGTGAAGCACTAGAAAACAACAGAAAAATCTTTCATTTAATACAAAGGGTCAGAATTTTTTTAAAAAGTTTCATATTTCAAAATGATAAATTTAAACTGCATCTATAGAGATACAAAGATGGATAAAGTCTCACACATTAATGATAAATATTATAGATAAAAGTATCCATGAAATAACTTATCGGATATACAGTTCACAGGCAGCAACAAAAAGAAAATTAAGAGTCCCTCTTATTTTTCTATAACAGATGAATGTACAACTGTATGAACTTTTATCTTTTTTAACCTTTTAGAATCTCAAGTATAAAGATATGTTGCAGCTCTAATCTACAGTTATATAATCCAATACATATTTACATTTTAAGAAATCCATTTTAAAGTAAATGTATCTCTTAAAGTGCCTTGTTATTTTTTTAGACTCCTGCAAAAGTTTGGTTTAATGAACAGCATTAATTTGGTTTAATGAACAGCATGCTGCATTTACAGAACTTCTAAGGATTTTTTCCCAAGCCATCTTTGAACCATTTACTAGTTAAAATTAAAAACAAACAAATCAGATTCATAAAGAGCGCCGCTTTCCACGTGGCTTTAAAATAGCCCAGCTTAATATTTTAAACAGTGCCTGCTACAACTGAACCCTCTCCCCCACTATTTATTATTATCCGAGAGAATATTAGGTAATCGCTGCTTACTTGTATGGATGCCCTTGTAGCCTTTTTGTTAGCTGAAACAGAAATAGAGAATATAAAGACTGAGATCCATTCAGATTTGTATATAAACTATATTCTTCAACAAAATGCAGATATATGAATTCTCAAACAGTCTAAACTATTTCAAAATATTTGTAGGGATTAAATTTCATTGTGAATGCCATTGTGTTATGCAGCATTTGCAGCATAAGCTGATCTACCAGAAGCAACCCACCTACCTCTATAGTCAGTGTTAAGATTTTTTCTTGTATTTTTTCATATATACCCATGCAGATTTTTACAGAGATACATGGCCAAAAGTACACAATAAATACAGGAATCACATGACTATCTCTCTCTCTCTCTCTCTCTCTCTCTCTCTCTCTCTCTCTCTCTCTTTGTGTGTGTGTGTGTGTTACACAATGACTCTTAATGCAAGCCAAGCATTTGGAAAATCAAAGATGATCTCTTTTCATACATTAGATTACAAATATATCAATTTTATTTATTATGTAATTAGAACAATAATTTTAAATTTAAATTTTACTATAGGTACACTAGAAAAGCTAGAATTATAGTAGTTAATGTTAAATCTTTTACCTCATGCAGTAGTGGAATAACAGAATATACGGGAATTCTGGCTACTGTTTTCTTTATTACTGCTTCCTTCCTGGTTTGAAGCACTTTCTGTTAAAAAAAGAAAGGGATCAATGATGGAATCATGTTATCAGGAGACACCCAAACTACCAAGACCTTATAGATCTCGGAGGGGACCTACCATAGATATAAAATTTAGTTTCATTGTTTTTCTTCGAAAAGAGGCAATATAGTTGAGCTTGAAAACTCACGTCTAATTTAGATCATTTAGATAAGTAAGAAATAAAGTCCTTCAAAATTCTTTATTAAAAGATTTCTGTGTCATTATTTTATAGTATTTACTACATTATCCTAAAGACACAAAATACTGCAACATTCCAAATATAATGAAATTTCAAGTTTTGATAATTTTGCGATGTTATAGAGATGCTCCCCAAGTATCGTATTACTTTTAATACTTACATTTAAAATCACAGGATCACTGCTTTCCAAACCCTGAACCAAAAGCACTGCAAAATTATCAGTTTGAGGAAGGCTTCCGGATGGCTGTTTTATTTTCATCACATCAATATCCATAGCGCTAAGGCGATCTTCAATACTTTCCTAGACATTAAAAAAAATACACAAGAAGTTAGCAATTTTTGCATCTCTCCTTTATAATACCATAACTGCATGTAACAAAATGAATTGTGCTTCCAGATTTAAGGATATGGTAAAATTCAGAGTCAGAGATAATTGAGGTTAAATGTCTGAATTCAGAAAACCAATTCTCAAAAACAAGAGTAATGGTAGATGTTCAACAATTTTATCTAGTCTTCATTCTAGCTATAGGTAGTGGGACTTGTAATCCAATACATACAAAGAGAAGAGGTTTGGTGAAGCTTTGCTGATGCAAATCTCATTTCCATCACAGAGCACATTTCTGTCACTTATCTGAAAAATCAGTTTTGACTCTTCAGTTATTGATCTATACACCACCTTTCTTATGTATGTTGTATTTTGAACTTCTTATTCTAAACAACGATTGGATCTAGAGCCAGGCTTACTCTACTGTTCTCCTTCCATTAACAGAAGTAGATAAAAGAGGGTAAAGACTTTCTTCCTACTGGAGAAAGGGATGGCATTGGCTTAACAGGCACAGAAGTTTCTCTCAATATTTTGGGCCACCTACTTTGTTCATGTGAAATTACATCCTTGGATTTTGCCTCTGCCTACATGAAAAAAACACAATGTTTAGAATCATCTAATATTCTCCAGTGATGGGAACACTTTCTTTCAGAAAAATGAATGTGTTGTAAAGTCTGTATTTCCTCTCTGAGCAAAATAAAAATTCTCAGAACCCAGCCTGAAAAATTATACTTTAAAAAAATGTAAGTCTAATTCAGAGAATGAACCATAACAAAGCAGATGATTAATGTCAACAATTGGCTTGGGTTAAATACAGAATACTAAATGGAGAATAATTACCTCTTTGCCATCTGACTTCCTTTTATTTTTATCCCTGCATACTGAAGATTTCACAGTTGAACTATGACCAGGAATCCCAGGCACTAATGTTTTGACCTCTGAGTTGATTACAGGAGTCTTCACCTAATTTTAAAGGAAAGAAATATATTTATATGTATTCAAGTACTACTACGTTCTCTATTTAATATTTTTTTATCAAACTCAACACCTAAACCAAATAATTTAATTAAAATTCAAAACTTTTCTTTTGTAAAAATTGCATTGAACGGCTAATTCATATACATATATGACAATTTACAATCCTAGAGAAATTCCCCCCAAATTCCCCTACTAGAGTGCATATTTCTTCATAATCATACATTTGAGAGCCCAATTAAGGCATACATAAATACCAAACAGCTATCAATTCTTCATCAATTGATACACTTACACACACACAGTTTGAACTCATTAATAATTAATAATTGAGAATGCAATTGTATAGTTCATATTCCAACACAGAAGATCAATATTTTATAGTTCAAATAATGGTTTTGTTCCAACAAAGAGATAAAAGCTAAATAAATTTTGATGGAATTCTTTAGGTATATATAGATTAAATGGGTGAAAATTTGATGAAAATATGCTTCACCTTTCCAAATATTTTTGTGCCTTTTGTAGCAACATTCATAGAGCCTTCAATTATTTTCCTATACAGGTGGTCCTCAATTTATGACAATTGGGCCCAAAATTTATGTCACAAAGTGAGACATTTGTTAACTGATTTTTGCCCAATTTTATGACCTTTCTTGTCAGTTAAATGAATCACTGCAATTATTAAGTTAGTAACAGTTAAACAAATCTACATTCCCCATTGACTTTGCCTGTCAAAACTTCTCAAAAGGCAGTCACATGACCCTTGCAATCAGCATAAACATAAGTCAATTAAAGAGCATCTGAATTTTGATCATGTGACCATGGGGATGCTGCAAGTCATAAGTGTGAAAAATGGCCATAAGTCACTTTTTTCAGTGTCGTTGTAACTTTGGTCACTAAACGAATTGTTATAAGTCTAGAACTATCTGTATTTAATCTCCACTGAAACATTATGAAAAAATAAATTCCCTGGAATTTGCATGCCTTTTCTTCTATCCTCAAAGAAGCATAATACATTTATATTTATCACTTATGGAATTCAATTACGAACCCACAGTAGCTATTTTACAATACACATAGAACTAGAGCCGAGGTGGCGCAGTGGTTAAATGCAGCACTGCAGGCTACTTCAGCTGACTGCAGTTCTGCTGTTCAAATCTCACCGGCACAGGGTTGACTCAGTCTTCCATCCTTCTGAGGTGGGTAAAATGAGGGCCCGGATTGTTGGGGGAAATATGCTGACTCTGTAAACCGCTTAGAGAGGTCTGAAAGCCCTATGAAGCGGTATATAAGTCTATAACTGCTATTGCTATTGCTAACTGCTGACTCCCACTGCTGGATAAAATTTACATACTATGTATATTACAGAAAATAGTTTCAAAATATAACCTATGAATAATGAACAGTTTTCTTAAGAAATCGATGTCCCTAAAATTCCATCTTTGCTATCTAGTTGCTGCGGGCCTGCATCCTATTTTCTTTGGAAATGACCAGTGTTATGGGTACTATTAAAGATGCTAAAGTTATTCGTAGAATACACAATAAAATCATGGATTATATTTAAGAGACGTCAGACAGAACCAACAAAACTAACTTTGGACTTCACCCTTAAATAACAGAAAAGTCAGATGTTGACAAATCAGTCCAAACACTGAATGCACATTTTTAATGCAAGAGATAATCCTTCTATAAAATAATCCATTGAAGTTTTACTATAGTCAGAAAATTGTGAAAAAAAATATGCTTTATAATAGCAGGCCAAAATGCTTGAGAGCAATTCCTTTCTACCCATTATTCTATCCAATCGATGTGCTCAGCCAGCCAAGAGGTGTCATCAGAGAAATTCAGTAAAAAGTGAAACCAATAAGGAGGTCATCACAGCACATCCAAGGATCCATAGGCATTCTCTGTTCCATGGATTAGCATATCATAAGCCATGTAGCTAACTTGTAGCGCTGGTTTGTTCATCCACGCAAGCATGCAGGTAAACAAAATATGAGTAAAGCAAGCATGAAACTATCTTGTATGCATTCTGAAGTGCAATACAGATGTTTAACTGGATTAACTCAACCAAGCACAGAATAAGATGGTTATCACTGAAGTAAAGGAGGCAAACTGGTTTAGGTTTTATTCATTTGCAAAACATCTGTATTTTTAAAGAACTGGGATACTGTTATATTTTAATCCTGTTGAAGTCCATCTCATTTCATAATAACTGATATAGCTAGTTATGGATCAAATATTGATTTAAAATCTCACCTTTGTTACAGCCATGTCTGTTTTCAGGGTCAGAGTCTTCTGAATGTCCCTTACAAAGCAGATGTGTCTTTCCATAGTATTCAAAGTCTATTAAATGAGGTTGACAAAAAACCAACTTTAATATTTTTGTGGGTGTTATTTTTTCCAAAGCAGATTTAAATTGTTTAAACATTAAATATATGCCCTAATGGTTCTAGCAAAATATCATTACTAAACAATATGTAGCTGTATATTGTGTGCAGAGTTAAGAATATAGATTTACTGGGGGGAGGGGGGGTGTTATTCTGAAATCAGTAATTCTTGAAGAAAATACATAAAATATAGAATTTTATTTAAAATGCATGTTACTTAGAAAAAAATGAATTTTATCTAGAACTTCAAACAAAAAAAAATATGTTATTAAAATACCACCTTTAAGAAAGCCATACATACCACTTTCTCAATAATAGGATGTAAGGAATTCCCATACACAAGTAGCAATGACTCTTTATCTGAACAAAATGCAGCTGCTAAGATAGGAACTGGCTTTGGTGTGGAATCATTTTCTTCTCCAGGTGTTGCTATCTGGACTGTACATTTGGATGTCAGGGGCTTTTTGCAATAGCTACAGAAAAACAATTTGTTGAACTTATAAACATCATTTATACTGTGTACCTTAATGGTTTCACTTATTATGAAATAATTGAGTTATCATATAATTAATAATCACAGTATGAATAGCTTGAATACAAGCTTATGTAAAATCAGTTAAGTGGGTAAAACTTAATATTGTATTATGCAATAAGTTATATAAAGTATTTGTATGGGGACTTGGTTAAGATATACACACACATACAATCACATCTTGATGAAAATTAGGCTAAGATCACATTATAACTGAGAAAATTGTTTGGACTTCATATTACTAACTACAACTACTACTCTCTAAGAATCATAACTGGACTGGAAGTCAACATGGACTGACTGAAATTACACAGAAACTGGAATCTGAGAAAAAATATGCTTTTTTCCTGTGCTTTGTTTTACTCTCTTCACACACACACACACACACACACACTCAAAAATAACCTGCTGCAGTGAATCCAGAATTTACAGTGAGTCCACAGGTATGAGAAGGACACTTATTGAATGCAATGGGGAAAGAGAAAGAAAAGATATTTATGTGAATGGACTTCCACACTTGATTTATAAAGAATGGAACCCATAGGCCACCTGCTTTAGTTTGGAAAACATTTAGACATACCAGTGAAAGGTTGTTATTATGAGATAAATTTTATTACCATTGAAACTTACCTCAGTAATTCTTTCTACAGGCTTATTTGTTTTTAAAAACAGATTAAACATATGATTCTTTACTCTTAACTTACCCATTCAAAACTTGCTCAAATAAATGCAGTTGTCCATCCCTGCATACCACTGCTATCTTCACTGGCTAGAAAAAACATAATTTTACAACAAGTTAAAAAATGTCATAATCCAGTATATCCAACTATACATTTTTCTTAAATAGAATGAGACTTAAAATAAATCAGGTTAAATATATGATTTATTACTGATTTAAATCAAAATTTCCCCTTTTAAAATTCACAGACATGGAAACGTTTGCCAAACCCTGAAAGAGCTGAATGTTTTCATCTTAGTAACAACTTCATATAATCCAAGAGCATAAACTAACGTTGTAGTCTTCAATGCAATACTTGTAGCTATCAACACAGACACTTCTCTTCAGGTGCAGATTCTCCATCTCACAACATTAAATTAAATGGGAAACTTTTCACAGTGCAAAGCAGAGCAGCCTAATTTTAACATTATCTGGTTCTATGAATGCCACTGGCTCACACCCTCTGTCATTTTTCAAGACTTCTGACTGGAGCTCTGTTTGGGAGTAGAGGAAGAAGCTGGCACTATATAGCATATTGGGGGGTGAGGTGGAAGATGCCTTCCACTTATCAGTGTTATGGAAGTGGCAATGTCTACTGGAATGTTTGAGGCCAACAGTTTAAATGAACTGATTTCTAAATGTTGTTTACATGTTTAAGACACTGCATGTTGAATTGGACTAACCTACAACATACACCTGGTAATATATGCAATTAAAACATGCACCAATTTAAACAGTAACATTTGGATGGACCAGTAGCCTCCAAGGTACTTGCAATTTTAGCTTCTTTTAGTGATAAAGGCTTGAACAGAAGTAAATAATTTTATGAAATATTTAAAAAATGATAAGACTGTCAATATTATACAGTATATCTCAACTAAGGAATGAAAAATGTGAATATTCCATTTTTGGAGAATCAATAGAATCAGGTCGTATTTTTTTAAAAATGTGAAATAAACTTACAATTTAAAAATGAATATCATTAATCATAACAGTATTTATGTTTACTGGCCCCAAAAATAATGTTGGGAAATGCAAAACAGATTTTTTTATGCTGCGATATAAGAAATTTGAAGATTTTTTAACTCATATAATTTGGACTTGTTCTATAATAATCTTGCATTTGTTTCCCATTTCTATAAATATTAATTAAATTTTGGAAAAAATAGACTAGTTAAGGTTGATGTGATGCAATATTCCTAAAATAGACTAGTAGCGCAAATTTAATTATAAATTTAGCAATTGAATTAGCTGTTTTCATATTAAATACTATGAATTATTATTCATGTAAATAATGTGTGTGCACATGTATATAAAACTGTAATAAATATATTTTTTCACATTACAATCACTATTTTTAATTTGCTCTCCTGGTTACTTTTTGACCCACTGAAAGAATTTTAAAAATGATATTAAATGATTTTAGTTTTTATCCAATAAATCAGTGGTTCCCAAACTTGGCAACTTTAAGACTTGTGGACTTCAACTCCCAGAATTCTCCAGCCAGCAGAGCTTGCCAAGTTTGGGAACCACTGCAATAAATGTTATCTATATACATTGTGCAGGTGTGTATAGCAAGCTCAATAGTTAATAACACAATGTATGACAATAAGATGAAAAGTGCTTATATTTCATTTGACATCTTCATTTGAAGACGTCTATCTCAAAATGTTCCAAGACTTAAAACAGACATTTTGAATATTCTAACAAACAAAATGCAGTTTTCTTTTGACTTTTGTTGTCAGCAAATGAAATATGTTGAGAGTTTTGCTGCGATTATAAAAAAAACACTTATGCTCGTGAAACAAAACAAAATTTCATGCGTATCTATAAACGTTACATTCAAGTACTTTTCTTTACAATTCATTTCAATGAAAATACCAGTTTAGATGAATATATGTAAAGCCAAGTAAAGAATTTTATAGCTACAAATTCTTTGGGCAATTCTTGGTTAACTTCCTTTTCATTCTTGCTGGCATTGTTCAAATTTTGGACAACGTACATAAGAAAATAGAAATACACATTAGTCCCTTTCAGACGTAAAAAGCTGGAATTTATAAACTAACTGTAACTATGATTGTGCGTTATTAAAAAAGGACTATGTATTCTTTTCTGGGATGATTTACTTATCACATCGCCAGAAAATCACCAATCATATTGCCATGACATTATGTGTGATCTAAATCTCTGTGTTTAAGAAAGATAATAATTCATTCTTTTCATTTCCACCATTTTAAAAATGTATTTAAAAAATTTAAATAAATATGAAAAAGGTTAATAAAATATAAAAAGAAAAAAGAAACCAAAAGATAAGGTACAAATGTTGTCCATATTGAACTTTAAATTAAATATACCAATTAACATAATAGAAATCATTAACAGAACTACAAATATTACAGGTAGTCTTTGACTTACAACCAACTTAACGGAAATGATTCAGTAACAACCATAGCAAGCAAGGTCCTAAAATGGGAGAAATTCACTTTAATAAATGCTGCTTAGCAATGGAAATTTTGGGCTCAAATGTGGTCATAAGTCGAGGAATAACTGTCTATAAAATCAATACTGAATATTATGGATCATCTAGAAATATGGCTCTAAGGAAAAGAAAACCAAATCTACAGGTGGCACAAAACGAGATCATTAATTCATTTTCATTTGCTGTTAAACCAGTTTTTAAAAAATCACTAGCTTTTAATTTATCCCCATACTTTTCTAAAGTGGTTTCAACTGCACTAAAATATTGATGTTGAAAAAATAAGCTCTATTTCTTACCTGTTCTTTGCTTTCTGATATTGTCAAGTCAATATGGATTGGCTCATCTGTTACTGTGAAACTCATCACAGCGTTCTTTTCTTTCCTGTCTGATCTCACCTGCCTTGAGAAAAAGCAGGACAGGTTTTAAAAAATGAAAAGACATAAGTAAAAATGATTTTAGACAGCATAAGAACACAATAATGCCCTATTGGAGTGGACCTCTAGCTGATCTAGTACAGCAGTCTGTTCATAGAGTAGCCAACCAACTGCACAAAAAGCACACTGATTTCCATGTAGATGGCCTTCAGAGGCAAGGGGCAATCATACTGCATTTAGGGTAATACCCACAGATTGCCAACACTTTTTGAAAGCTAGACAATTGGTAGTGAAGACTATATTTTATGGTAATGAATTGTATGAACAAATAATGAATTATGTAAAGCATTGTTTTCTTTTGTCTGTCCCAATTCTTCTACGATTGAATTTCATTGTGTGATCTCTGGTTCTAGCATTTTAGGAAGGGGAAAGTAGCTTCTTCTTGCCCATTTTATCCACACCCCATATAGAGTTCAACTTCTCAAAGCAGCTTTTATGCCTGCTATGAATAAAACAATCAGAAAGCGGTATGTAGAATATTCACAGAATAGTTGAGAAATTCTTTTCTACGATGATATGCAGAAGTCAATGGGTTAATTTTATATTATATGTATACACTGTAGTGATCCACAAACCTCATTTATTTCATGTTTTTATTTCTTAGTTTTGGACTAAAGATTATTATCAAACAGTGATTGTTAAGAGTTTGAAAAAAATACATACCACACACTGAGTAACCGGTCATGCATTGCTCCAGATAAGAAATAGAGGCCTGTAATTCCATCAAAAGGTTGATTTTCAGCTGGAGGCCACATTGTGATGAACCTAAGCATTGAGACTGCTGTAGCATGTCCTGTGAAATGCTGAACAAGAAATGTCATTTAGACTGATCAGGAAGACATAGTATTTAAAATGCACAGAAAAATTCAAAGTTGAGATTCTGTATCCCAACAAGAATCCATTATCCCTAAATTAGTGTCACACAAGAAACTTATTTTTCCTAAAGTAGAGAATGAATTTAGCTTCAGAATAGAAGCAATATGGATGGAAGGGAACTCTTTTTAAACATAATCACAATCAGGAATTTAAGTTTTCTGTCGAGCTAAATAAAAAGTGAAAAATTGATACTATCAACTATCAACGGACGCAGCTATCTTTCCATTTCTCAGCTTGGGAGGTGGGAAGCCTGGAATGTCAGACCAGACAACAACATAGATCATCCTGTGGGAACCAAGGTCATCCCAACAGGTGCTGGCCAGAGACTGGGGGGGAGTTGCCAAGATACCAGAATACCTAATTGTACACTGTGGCCTATGACCCTAAGGGAGGGAATTATCTATTCTTTAATTATACTGAAACTGCAGGAAATATTTAGAACTGGTTTTGTTTCCATTCGTGCAGAAATGATATACTCAACAAAACAGTTCTTTAAGAAAGCTGAAAGTCTCAAAGTGCTGAATTGCTTGGGTTCATTAGTTGGAACCTTGACAGATAATTTATTTTCTACCACAAAGAATGAAATTACTTCTCCTGGGCTGCAACAAGGCTTTCAAACACTGAATTTCAGTAGACTCAATCTTTATCACTCAAAAAAGTGATAAATTGTTTCTACCAATTATTCCTTCAGATTTCAACGGAAGATAATATTAAATAGGATTTGGATTTAAAAATCAACTAAATGTCTAAGAATAACAAGAAACTGGTAAACATTTTAATCCAATGATACAATACATAGAGTATGCTCATGTTCAATGTTATCATAAAACACTGTAATGATAAAAATAATTATCTTTTCCAAAGTAGCGGGTTTAACTATCATTAATGCTTTCATAATTAACAAACACCAAACCAGACATTATTCCTGTTACGTTGTGTACAGCAATAGTGTTTACAGGAATTCAGATTAACATTGTCAAATGCTGCTATGGGGCAGTGCTCAGACACAGCCAAGGAATTTCATGTCCTCATTCAACTGTCAGCCATCTGAAACCACCGTTTAAAAGTATCATCACAGCAAACTGTCCAGCAGTCTCCAACGATGCTAATGATATTATTAAACAAAACGAAGTAAAGCAATTGATTAAGGAGTTAAGATCATTTAGGTTCACTGTGTCCCTGAATACATACTCTATAGACTTCTTTGGTCTCCAAGTCCCACAGTTTGATAGTTCGACCTGCTGAAAGTAGTACTTTTCCATCCGGACTGATGCACAATGAGCTCACACTGCTGTTATCTCCTTTCCATTTACTAGGGAATTTAAGAAAAAATGAATTAAAAATTACTATAATACAGATTTATTTAACAAAGGCTAAAAGAAAATACATATAACTCTGTAAGTTGGAAAGCGGAACTTTAAATGTCTTAAATCACTAAGACTTTGATTTAGAATCTAAACCCAAAATATTCCTTGAAATTGGCTACTTCTGAGCAGCCAGAAAAATTAAACTAAAGAGTGAAAGGACGTGTTAAGCTACTTTTCCATGACAAAGCTATTTGGATAAGAACATTCATAATTTTGAGAGCATGTACACACAATGACTGCCTTGAAAACTATGCTTATTAACAAAATGACTCTTATACATGCCCGCTCCATTTAACTAAAGGTGATGTTGTTCTCAATGTAGGGTCTTTGTAGGGCCCCAAGACATTTCTGGAAATACATGTGATATCAAAGTCTGGTAATTGTATTTCTAACATCTAGGAATGTTTTAATTCCATTTGTTATAGTTTATATAGAGAAGTTTGAAAAAATATTATGATGTGTCTACTTTCATTATCTTTAAAAATATGTTAAACCAACTTTTATTTTAACTGAGAAGTTGAAGAAAAATGTGTTTAATTCTGGACTTTTCCAACTATGTACTTACCGTGGTATTTGGTAAGGTTTAATATATTAAATTTTCACTTGAAGACAGCCTGCTCAGACAGCCAAGAGAAAAGTATCCTCACTAGGTATCAGAAGTGAGTGAAACCAATTGGAAATCATCACAGCAGGGTATTTTTTACTTGAAGACTGCACTTTTGAAATTAATAAATGAAATAGGCCAGCTTGTTTAGGCAAGATGTTAATTGTTTTATTCCGTACATATAACCAGTAATTTGAAGAATTTCTATACAATTTTCCCCCTTTACTGCTTATAAAAAGTGGTTTATATACCATCTGTTTATGATCTTTACTTTTTATAAGCAGTAAAGGAAAGGGTTCAAGTTTTAGTCCTGGATTTTATATTACATCTCAAAAAGATGTTATGTGTAATGTGACTTTTTTCTCATGCAATTTTAAGTTATTTTCCCTTTCAAGCAAATATTTCTTACACCTAGATTTAAAAATCAAATATTAGCGTTCTAGTTCTAATAGCCCATAAGATATTTGCATATCATTACATTATAATGCAAGATGTGTTAGTTATTTGTTCCATTGGATTGAAAGCATTTCTAAATTTAAATAAAAGAATTGGGCTGCTGAGTAAAAATTAAATTAGGATCCAAACACTTTAAAAGAAAAATCAATCAAATTTTACTAATTCAGAAATTTCCATAAGAATGTGTATGGGGATGAATGGATATGAATTTCCTCAGTGATTGCAAATGTTGTAAGTTATTTCTTTCAATTTTATTTTAATTCTGAGATTCTTAGGGACTACCTGTCTCCTGATCTTGTTTTCTAACAGAACTGACATGCTTCAGGGTATTCAATTAAGCTTTATCATCTGATGGGACTTAGAAGGCCTGCCTTTATCCCTCCCAGAAGTTTGTACTACCCCTAACCTGGCCTTGTTCAAATAAGCCTTTAAAAACTGATTCTTAATCTAGGCCTTGGGTTACCTTGAGAGGCAGTCTCTTAATGGGATTGCTATATGTTTGAGACAGTGTAAGATCCGTAATGTTATTTTCTCATTGTTTTGTAAATTTTCTTTTAATATTATTTAATAATCAAATAATATTCATTTTAGCATTTAGAGATGAAAAAACATTACACAGTCTTTACACATTACTTAATTCTACCTAAGATAAATTGATCTGAGAATTTTCATTGTTAGTCACAAAGTCATATCTGACCTATCGCGACCTAGAATAACAGAAATTTGGTGACACTTATATACTAGGCCAGACTCACCATTTTACTTTACATGTCTGCACGTCCCATTCCACAATATGTTTGTCATCTGAACAGCTATATAAACAACCATTGTCCTGATGCCACCGTATGCAGTTTATTTTATTGTCATGCCCATTCTAGGTAAAAAGAAAAGTTATTAGCAAGTATGATACTTTCATCAAACCAGTTGTGACCAAAATGCTTTACAGGTGGTCCTTGACTTACAACCACCTTTAAATCCCCTAAAATTGCCCTCCCAAACTAACCCATTTGTACCACTAGAAAGATTGTAAGAGGCAAAGTCATTATCTTAAGCTGCTTTATTTCTGAAAGCACCAGTTTTATTTCCACCTTATGTCTCCTAACTTCTCCCAGAAAGAAAAATATCTTTGAGTATTTTTTTTTACATTGTTAATACTCCTAGCACATTGGAAGGACTAAATAAATAATTCCAACCACTTTGCTAGTGTTACCACCATTCTGTAGCCTCAGACAGATTTAAAAAAAACACTGCTATCCCAGACAGATAAAACATTGCCCACCTCAGCTTTTAATAACTTTAAATCAATTGTCTCTTAACAGAAAAATAATGTTGCTAAACATCATACTTACTAGTTTATTCTGTAATTCTCCTTTAACTGTGCTGTATAATAAAATGCCACCAACAGCAGTACCAATAGCCAAAAGATCTAACTGTTCAGCTGCTTCTACAACTTCAGATTTCCTCTTCTTCCTTTGAGGACCTTCCTATAAAATAGTTAAAATAGTCTGGATATTAAATAACTATTTTACAAGAGATATGAAATAAAAGCATATTGAAAATTGCCAGGGAGTATAAACACAGAATCAGCATGCCTATGTACACTTTAAAAAAAGTGCTGAATTGCTCTATCAACATAATCCAAGCTCAAACCTAACAGTCATCTTTATCTTGTTAAAATCCAGCTAATATAAAGAACCTTCAATTCTGCTGAGCAAACATGAACATTCATCATGCATGATGATCAGTGACCATAAATATTGATTTAATCTGATATAATAACATCCTTATTAATAGTACTTAGGCAGTTCAAAATACTCAAATCCAGTTTTTTCCCAAGAAAGGTGCTTTGCTTTAGTAATAGAAACAACATATTTCTGCAACATTAACTGTCTAATGAGTTTTTAAATAACTTCCTTTTTCTTCTTCTATATCTAACTGAGTCATCACTTCTTTCAGAATCTATTAATTCTCCAAGTGAATCTTTCATAGACTCTGCTTCTTCCTGCTACTGTTCATCACAGATCTACAAGGCCCTTTTATTCTCTGTCCCTCTGCATTGATCACTGCAAGTATATTTATCTCCTGTACGTTTCAAATTAAAATTATTTCTATGTGAGTTGCAATTCCAGCTCTTTAATTCCTATATGGTTTACTGTACGTTTGGAATTAAAAACAAGAATTCTACTTTGTAATTTCTCCAAGCCACCCTGTGAAAAACCCCATATCTGATTTCAGAGATCATAAACATGTATAAAAGTTCATATACATTGCTTCAAATATACCAACATTTCAAATCTCATTCAAAATTTTACCTCTAAACTAAAATGCATAACATTAATCTGTTTCAAACATAATTCAGTCTTATGATTTTACATCTTGTTCATGTCAATGGCTTCTCTACTTTAGTTTACATTCATATCAGAATTGGAAACCACAACTTGAAATATATTTTCAATTGTGATTTTAAAAAATTCTCAAAATGTTGTTTCACAATCACAATTCCAAGGTCAGTAAAATGAGGATCCAGATTATTGGTAGCAATATGTTGAGTCTGTAAACTGCTTAGAGACAGCTATAAAGCTGTAAAGAGGTATATAAGTCTAAGTATTGCTATAGGTAGCCCATATGATCTCTTCCTTCTGTTTCTACATCTCTTTCCTCATCATCCTGAGGGTAGGCCTTTGCTACCTGCGTACAATTCTTCAGTATATTTCTGCCATCTGTTCATGATGCCTTCTTGGTGCAACAGTTCTTTCCCTTGCTTGTTTTTAATTATCCCTTTATAGGCAATAAATGATGCTCCGATCTTTTTGACTTGCATAAATGCATTCCTAGTGTGACCCTTCATGTAGTCCATTTTAAACTGTTTACATTGCTCATCCCTATAAATTTCATTATCCTTTCTTGCTGCCCTCTGGAAAGCTGTATTTACTCTTCTTACTTCTTCCCCCTTGCCTGCTGCCTTAGCTGGTTTTCTTTGCTCAGCTGTTTTGATGGTTTCATCTGGGAGCCACTTGCACTTTTTCTCTGACTTCTTGAGTGGCAAACATTCTGCAATTCCTATAATAATCGATTGAATTTTTTGTCACTGTTCAGGTGTCTTATCAGCAGTGTCTAATAGATCAAACCTATTTTTCACCTCCATTGTATATGTAGTAGAGAGTTTGGAGACATCAAACTTATTTGGAAGCACTGCCTTTTTGATGCTGCATAATACGACTAATCTTTACCATCAACAGTTTGTGATCTGAACCGCAATCAGCACTTGGATAGGACATAGGACATAGGTCAATCGGATTATGGTGAAGTCCATTTGGTGCATAAGTGGCGATTGTGCTGTTTGAACTGTACATTTGTGATCCTAAATTTGACAATTCTTGGCAAAATTGTACCTTCATCGTTCCTTTCACCCTTTCACCTATCTCCACTTGTTTGCCAATTTTTACATTAAAATCATCCAAGTTGTAAATGATGTCTTTTGGGGGCACTTGTTTCAGTTTTTTGGACCAGGGCATAAAAGCCCTATTTCAAGCTCTGCTGCAGCAGTCGTTGGGCATAGATTTGGGCAATTGTGAGGTTGAGGGGCTTGATGCAAATTCTGATGGTCATAATTCTGTCACTGACAGCTGAAAAGCTTTTTTCACTGCTATAGCAAATTTCCTACTTACAATAAACGCCAATCCATTTTCCCAATATCATGTCCTGAATGTCAGTAAAGTACTCAGACTGGAAAAAAACCAATGTCTGACCAGAGTAACTCTAACACCAAGGAGATCAATTTCCAATCTGATCATTTCACATTTGACAATATTTAATTTACCTACTCCTCTGGTGTTCCACATGGCTATCACATGTATCTCTATACAACACAGATATTTGTTTTCGCCACTACCTGCCTCATTAACTGTGATTCCTCTTATCTATTGTTGAGCACTCTAGATGTTTGACACTTGTTCCATAGAATTTTCTTGGTGAGTGTTTTGTGGAGTAGGTCACCCTCCATTAAAATGTTAAAATTTACCGTATCTCCTAATTTTGTTAGCTGTAAGAAGTACAATCCAACAGTAAATGAAGACCAGTATATTGACTATTTGAGACAAGTATAATGAAAATTGTATTGAGTTGTGAATACGAAATTAAAATTTTGGATTTTAATATTTGCACAAGGATGACATTTTTTCTCAGGTAGCATAAACTTTGCATGCCTGAAATGATGCAGTAATTGGATAAACTTTTAAGTTCTGCAACAGTTAAAAAGTGATAATACACAGGTAAAGTTCAAGTGAAAAAAAGTAGGATACAAGAACATGAAACATCTTTTCTTTCCATTACAATCCTTTCCTTTTCAGGAATATTTACTCAGCAAATGTTCCTTTTCATTTACATATTTAAATTCCCTTTGATAAACCAACAAGTTTCTCTCAGTAACAATTTACACATTTTCATTCACTTTCAAGCAATGCATATAGGATTGCAATCTCAACATAGCAGCAGTACTCCCACATTCTCACTCTATTAACAAATACTTTATTTTGTCCCTTTACTTATATCTATTGAAATAAAAACAGATGCATGTTCTTGAAAAACTAAGAAGTCTGATTAAAAAGCTTTAAAATATTTAAAAGGATTTTAATTGTCTGAATTTATAAAGATATAACTTTTAAATGACTTTTAGCAATTAACTCTACAGACTGATGGAGTGAAGAAATGTAAAATCCTTTTCAAAGGCCCATATATTTTATGAAAAAATAAAAGAACACAAATGAAGTAGATGTGTAGAGTGTATCAAGAGTCAGATAGCCAACTCAGAATAGTACATAGGCTTTACATTCTAAATCTCTCCATCTAAATTGGAGTAACAGAAGACGTCATTTAGGATTACAGCTGAAACGTTGACCTAAAAGATGCCTTTAGGAACTCCAGTCTAAAACCAAAACCCACTTCTGGTGACATATTTCTGGATGGCACTAAAAGTACACATATTGCTGCAAAACGGGAGCTTTGTTATGTGCCACCCCAAAATCTGATGCCAAGCCAAAGTTAAGAACAAATTGGGAAAGATAGAAGTGGCTCCCCCAAATCGGAAGCATAGCATGTGCGTGGTAATGCTCAAATAACTAGGTTTCGACGTGGATTTCCTTTTTCCCCTAAGATGATGCTTTTATCTTCCGAAATTTGTACGAAAGGTCCCGCTGGGGAGGAAGAAAGAGAACTAAATCCCCTTTTGAGAGGGGTGAGGTCGTGGCGTGAACCTTGACGCATTTCAAAGCAGCAGCGTCTTCTTCTTTTCGGCTCTTCAATCCTCCATGCGTCGGGTGGGGGCGGAGCCAGGAAGAGCACACATGTGCAGCTTCGGCCCTGAAGAATCTCGGTGGGGGAAAGCGGGGGGGGGGAATCGGGGCTGCTTTGAGGAGAGGCCCGAGGTGACGGAATGGGGGAGAAAAAAGTTGCCAGCAGATCCGTCCACGGGCGATCCCCCGTCTCTAAGAAAAAGCAGAGCGCTGCTGCGAAGGTTCCATCGCACGTGGCTCCAATTTGCACGCGGGGGGGGGGGTGATTTTATCCCAATTAGGAGGTTTCAAAAAAAAAACAACCCACATACACCACCATCGTCTTTTCTCCCACTCCACCCTCGCCGCCCTCAGTGACAGGCCCACCTCGCTGCTGGGCATGGGGGCTTCCACATGGTCGGGAATAAGGCCCAGGCCCAGCAAACGCGACCCAGGCGACGGTGCCGCCGCTGCGCTAGCCCACCCTTTGAATACCTTGCTGGGAGGCGGTCGGCCTCCTCCGACGGCCGGCGGTGCCCAGGCCAGGCAGGTACAAGCGGCGCTGAGATGGGCAGAGGGCACGTACTCGTGATGGAGGCGGCTACTGGCCGTCTCCCACACGCGAAGCCGCCCGTCGGGCCCAGAGAGAGCCAGCAAGCGCCGCTCGTGGGGAGAAAAGGCACAGGGGCTTCCTGTCACGTAGATGGGGCTCTCGAAGGCCGCCGCCTGCTCCCGCTCGCCCGCCGAAGCGCCTTTTCCTCGCCCTCCTCTTGCTGCTCCTGCTGCCGCCGCGGCCATGGCGCTCGCTGCAGGCCCGGCCCTCTCTGCTCCCAGCAGGGCAGGCGCGCAGCAACGTGGTCGGCCTTTCCCCCCACGAGCATGCGCACTCGCAACCTCCGACGCGCTGCAGTACGTCATCTTCACGTTCCAAAGGCTTGAGGGTAGACGTCGGGAGGCTGTTTCTGTAGCCTCCGGCTGATGAACCTTCGGCTTCCTTCCAAAAATGAATTCACCCAAGAATGGATCAACACAGCTGGAAGCCGATTTAGAAATCAGGACAAGCCTCATATTTGAATTGGGCTGCTGCAATCCGACTGTAATTGTTCACAGCGTTTCATCGTAATAAGACAGGGGTCCCCAAACTTGACAATTTTAAGACTTGGGGACTTCAACTCCTAGAATTCTCCAGCCAGCTATGCTGCTGGAGAATTCTGGGAGTTGAAGTCCCCAAGTCTTAAAGTTGCCAAGTTTGAAGACCTCTAATAAAGAGTTCAGTTACAATCGGCCGAAACCAGCTGCCTGCGGAATTCTGGGAGTTGAAGTCCACAGATCTTAAAAGGGGTCTCGGTTGAGACGAGCTGTTTGGGTGCTCTCTGAGTTTGATTGTTTTCTGGCCGACATTTTACCTTAAGGTGAAATGTCTGCAAGAAGAGAATTAATTCAAAGAGCAGGAAAGGCTTAAAAGCACTCTTCTAAACGATCAGCAATATGGAGAAATAAAGATGTGAAGAAAGACAATGCAAATGTATTGGTTCCACAAACCAGCCACGTTTCTCCAAGTTGTCTATTTTTGTTAGTCCTAAATTCATTTGTTTGGAATGAATACCAGGGATATGTAAATCCCAATTGGTGGGATGCATATGAGTAGACACTGACAGGAATGTGCTTTTAATTCCATGTTCTGTCCACTGTATCATAGTGGAACTGTTCATCTCTTGGTCTATAAGATATCCTTTCACATTTAAAATGTACTATTCATGTTATTTCTTTATTCTTAAGAAATAACATAGCTAGCACACTTTAAATTCCTTAATAGCTCATTTACTCTTTCTGCATTTATATGTTTGTGTACACACACACACATTCCTTTGTAAAGAACTTTTTAAAGCTGAGTTAAAGCTGAAAACGTGCATCTTTTTCTTGATTATGATTTACAAAATATAGAATCACATAAATAATTCTAGACTTTTTTCAGGAATAAAGCTTATGTTGTATTTATTAATTGGAAATTAAATATTATGGACCCAGTCCTTTAAAAGGACAGCAGGCAGGTGAATACCATCCAATTAGCCTTCTGATTATTTCTTCTAAACGTTATGCTCATCTCTTGACTAAACTGCATGATTGGGAGGAATATTTTTTCCCACCCAAAACAGGCAAGATTTATAAAGCAGTCGATTACTGTGCCACCCCTAAAAGCTTTTATCCAGAAATATACCAACAGACATACAAAGCAACTCTGTCTCATTCATCAGTTTCACTTCTGCCTTTGACTTAATTAGGTCCCAATTATGGGGAGAAAAATGTTGACAGACATCTATAGGTATCTTTTAATCCTTTCACAATGGAATTACATGCTGTACCCAGAGTAAGAATAAGAACTGCAAGGCTCTGTTACATTTCATTTCAACGGAATTGCGGAGTCAGAGCTCTTCACTTCTTTCTTTTTTGCATCAATTACATCAATTTAGTGACCATAGATATATAGAATAATCAGACAATTTCTAACCAGACACATAGATTAGCATGTAAGGCTTTATTGAGTCTCTGCCCAGAAAGTGTCAAATTTCCTTTATGCAGTCAGTAGTTGGACTACACACAAGCAGGGTGTGTGTGTGTGTGGAGGGGTATAATTAGCCTTCTAAATAAACAAACCAATCATGGGAAAATCGAAAAAGAAAATAGGACGAGAGGCAAGGCCAAAGATAATTTATTACAGTAGAAGAATTAAGACACATCCCAACACGACTTCTATAGAGAACCACGTGAGACTAAACCGGCGCAGGGCATATGCATCATCCCTTGTGCTTTTTCTCTCCATGGGGCTAAGATCCAATGGTTTTATACCTCAATATCCGGTTCTCAATTGCAGTTAACAGGTCTCCATATGCGGGTAGGACCACTATAAATACGTAAAACTTACGGTAACAAGATAAAATGCTTAACGTTTAGTTGTTGGTTAGGTCTAAAAGCAGAAGCCAAGTATCGCCACTCCGGCAGGTTATGCATAGGTTAAGTTCAAATGAAAAAAAATGTTGAGTTTGTTGTATTTCCTCCATTCTGAGGATCCGTGTGCTGCAATTTAGATTCGTTCTTGGGAAATACTGGAACACGATTCTTAAGAGTATTACTGTGTGAAATTCAGCAGGCAGATTTTCCCGTCACGGGGATGCAGATAGTAGTGAAGAAAGCAAAGCCAGTTAAACCTCTGCTTCTCTTGGGAAAGGACAGAGGGGCAGAATTGAAGGGGTACTGAGAGAATCGGTATCTTAGAGAAAAGTCTCATTTGTTCCAAACCTCATAGCGAACGACATTCTTTCATCCGCCTCCTTTCGCTTAGTATTTCTATTAATATGTACCCTCCCTGCCTTCAGCACTTCCCCACCTCCCCCAATTGAGGTGTCCATTCATAACCGGAAACTGAAGGGAAAACCTACGGTAGATCTTCGGAAAGGCCCTTTTGACTGGATTGCGATTGGCTCCGCAGCTCGCCCGGGAAGAAAAAACTCCCGTCTACGTCCTGTTTGCCTTGCAACCAGCATGGTACCTTTGGCAGAGTGGTAGAACGGCGCGGGTTCCATTAAGCCAAGCGTAAAATAGAAGAAAGCGATTGGTGAATTGGCGGCATCTGCTCTCCTCGAAGCACCGAAGCATTGATGGCCTGCTGCTGGCAAAGGCTGGGTCTGGGGGCATCGCAAGGGAGGACTTGGGCATCGCTCTGGACCAAGTTGAGAGAGGATCGACCCTTACGCGATGCCGGGAGAAAAGGGCTGCACTTCCGGGCTGGAGTGCCAGGGATGGTCATCGGTCATTCCAAAGCGTACCGGCACCAGCTGCAAGGAAAGCCCACAGTCGGTTCCCAAGGCGTTAGTCGCCGGGTGTCTTCTAGCTCGGCGGGCGACGGAGACGAAGGGGTGGAATTCCCAGAACAGGTTAGCCCTAAATCTCAGCCGGACTCCTTTAGGTTGAGAGAGAGGAGCAGGGCTTGGAGAGGGTCGCTATCGCCCTTAGAAAGGCTGAGCCGGAGGATTCCCCCCGAGCTCCTCTCGCCAGAAATCAGAGCTCTGAGAAGCGCGGAGGGGAAGGAATCAAAGTCTCAGGAATGCGAAACGCGCGTTGCAGAGGAGGGAGTCTTTCCTGGAGCAAATTCCCAGCTGGATCGGGGCTCTCTGGCCGAGAAAAGTAAAAATGCGCCTTCGAGGAACTGTCCCTTCCGAGTTGGGGAGCTGATTCTAGTAGAGGGTCATCGAAAACACGGCTCGAAATGGAAGATCCAGTGTCTGCTCACTGATACTGGAATGTGTAATACTAATTTGGGTTTCATTAGATTCTCTGAGATCGTAGGCAAACTGCCCGGACAGCTGTTCCAAACGTCCCAGGGTAAAATCTTGCTGATTCGGAGGCCATCCCTAGAAGAATATGTGCTGCTAATGGATCGAATGCCTTCCATCGTCTCTCCGAAGGTATATATTAATTGTTCGGCGCTCCCCAATTCCCATTATGGGGACTGATATGTTACCGTTCCCATTGTTTCAACGGGCCCCACTGAGATCTTGTGGGCTCATTTTGAAAACAGAATTGATAAAATAGACTTTTGGCTTCTTAGGACCCAACAAGACCCAATCCCATATAATCTTTTATGCCTCTATATTTCCTATTTCTTTCCTTAGCTATCACATCAGACTTTCCCCATATTTTAACCCCCCCCCCTCTTGTATGATTCCCTTTGTAGCCCAATGAGCCTTTCTGGACTGGGAAATTGTGGGAGTTAAATTCCAGACACATTAAAGTTGCTGAGGTTGAGAAACACTGCAATAGTAAGCTCAAAACTGATAGAAAACAAAGCACCTTTAGTGCTTCATCTTATCATTAAGGCATCCTCCCCCAACTTGGACATTTTTCAGACATTTGGACTTTCCTTCCTCCCAGAATTGTCCAGCCAGCATAGCAATTGGTGAGAATTCAGAGTTGATCTATTTATTTGGAAAATAACCTGGGCTAATTTAGACTATAAGGTAATTTAGACTACAAAGTTGACTCAGCCTTCCATCTTTCTGAGTTTGGTAAAATGAGGACCCAGATTGTTGGGGACAATATGCTGACTCTGCAAACCCCTTAGAGAGGCTGTAAAGCACTGTGAAGTGGTATTAAGTCTAAGTGCTATTGCTATAAATAGAAATTGTAGTGAAACCTCCAGATTCTGGTTGGAATTACTTCTGTGGTTATACATATAAGATTATACTCACTCCTGTTCTCTGCAGGAATTGCGTGTGAACATCTGTCACAGCTGCTGTTCAGTTATACTGAATATTAATTTGATCTGCATTGAAACTGGACAGATTAAAGAAACATCCCTTTCAATACTACTTGAATATTAGCTTTAAAATATGTCATCTTTGTTCTTTTAACCTATAGGATGCCAATACAATGCTGCTGTTAATGGATATCACACAAGGGGACACAGTATTAGAAGCTGGTTCTGGTTCTGGAAGCATGAGTTTATTTCTATCAAAAGCAGGTAAAATAACAGTTTTTGAACAGGGTTTTCATTATTGGTGTCAGCTGACAGAGTTTCCATCTTTTATTGTTTCTTTACACTCAGACTTTTTAACATCTTAATGTATACAAATGCTCATCTTTTGCCAGGTTTCAGGCAGAAAAAATGTATTTCATTCCTGTCACTTTATCAATTTAGTAGGAAGCAGGGGTTAAAACCAGGATTTCCAGCAGATTCTATTCTTCATAGCTATCAAATAATTCTTATAATGCAGTACAAATTGTTGGGTTATGCCTTAGAAATTTTGATATTTAATCCATCGTTCATGTTTAGTATGTTGGCTGAATATGCCACTATAATGCTGTCCGAAATAAGTAGAAAATTATGTGCCTCTTGATGATGAAATATGAACATTTGAAATATGAGGAAATGTTTAACAGATAATACTGTCATGCAATTATTGGATTCTGTTTATATGACTTTTCTAAGGTATTTCTGTCTGAAACTTTCACACATTTTCCTTCTGTTTATTTGTCATCTTTTTTTCTTACCAATGCCACAGTTTGGTGAAATACAACAGCTCCCTAAGGACTGAAGAAGAGTAAATAATTTCAAGAGTAGTGGAAAAACTTGCTATCATGCAGATATTATGCTGATGGATTATTTTACTATATATCATCATGAGGACCCTTAAATCAACAACTAAGGGTTGTTGACTAGTAGCTAGTCAAAGGTGAATTGTAGGGCAGCTAAAATTAGGAAAGGGTATGGGGGGGAATATAAGTCAAACAGGAAGAGAGTGGTGGTAGATCTTGGGTTTTCCCTGCAAGAGGCTATTTATAAAAATAAATCAACTTGATTATCTGTTTCCAGTTGGGTCACAAGGACATGTAATAAGTTATGAAATCAAAAAACAACATCACAAATTGGCAGAGAGGAATTTTTGGCAATGGCGCAAAGCATGGAAAATAGGACATGGTAAAGAGTGGCCAAATAATGTGGATTTCATTAATCAAGATATTTTGACTGCAGCTGAGGATTTGAAATCTGTAACACTTGATGCTGTAAGTATTGTATTTATTTTCTTAAAGTCAGAATTTCGTGTTCAAAGTGGCTTGGGGACTTAAAACAGATAATGCCATTAGCACTATAAGCAAACACCTTTAGTTTTATCATCAACTCATAATCCAGCCAATCTGACATTATGGTTTGTGACTGTGTGCTGCTAAAAACATTGATATACTTTATGCTAAAAACAGATTCACTGTCACAAGTCTTATAGTACATGTACTCATTAAATCAACAGTAAAACCTGTTGCATTTTACTTCAATATTAATGCTTTTCTTTCCCTTTCGATAGGTAGTTCTCGACATGCTTTCCCCTCAGAATGCTTTGCCTGCAATTTTCCCAAGTCTTAAACAAGGGGGAGTCTGTGTTGTATACTTTGCAAAGTAAGTATTCATTCTTTAAATCTCCAGGTTTTGCTTTTGAGTGTTTAGAAAGTACAATTGTGCAAAATATTTGACTTTATTTCATGCATGAATGAAGCACCTCTTTCAAACTTTTCAAGCAGACAAATATTTGGCCAGACTAATACTACTGCCTTAAAGCTGCACCTCATTGCTTTATGTATGTATACATACAGGGCCATTTCAATGTTGCAGGAAAAAATGCAGCAAAGTGGCTGTGATCCATGTGTGCTGCTTTAGAAAGAAGTTTGGTTTTTATGTGTGCCACTGCTTGGCACTATCCTATTAATTTGTAATTAATTTCTTCTTTGGAGGTATACCCCCAATTGGTTCTCAGCTACGGTTTCAAATCAACTTGGCTGAAAAGCGCTAATAGCAAACCCATCCTTAGGTCTCTTTTGAGAGCCCTGCCCATTAGTTCTCCTCATGTTATTTGTAGAATGGAAGCCTTGGCAAGAAGGCCTGACATGACCAGCAGCTGCCTCACCTAGAGCCAGACCCAGCATGTCAAGCTGCGGTATAAAATAGCAAAGGTCAGCAGGACGTAGCAAGACCTACGGAACATAGGGTGTGAGGGCAGCTGGGGCTTTGCACTGTGGCACTAAGGTGGCTAGAGTTACACAGAGCATAGGGAAGCACTTCTTGGTAGCATTGGGAATGAAAGAGAGGACCTGAGGTGGGAGCACCCAAATGAGCTCCAGCACCACCACCTCTCCCCATTGGGCAGAAGAGCCAAAAAGGCAGAGGGGGAGCTAAGCAAATGAGAGGACTTGAAAAGGAGAAAGAGAAGGCAGACCCTTAACTCACCAAGGATTAGGGCTGGACAAACTGAGAATTGTTTGAATCAGGGTTGGTCTTCACCTGATTACCAATGGGTTTGTGTCAGCCTCTGCTTTGCTGGTGCTTCGGCTGCCATTGAAACGGGGGAGGGGGGGCATGGTATTTGGGAGGGGAATACTAATTGTGCTGGAGGAGGATTCTGGAGTTTGCTGCCTCTCTTGCTGCGCATGCGGAGGTTTCCCGCCAAGGCCAACGGCACCGACATTCCATCTGGGTGATGCCTTTCCAAGTTATCTCACACCTGACACTTGGGAGAATTATGATTGGACTGTAACTGGGATGCCAAGGGGAGGGGAATTTAGGTGCTTTCGTGCCTAAATAATCAGTCTTTTGCTTTGCTACGCTTCTAATCATTTATAATTAGTAAAAGTACACTTGATTCTATCAATGGAGTCTCGTGGTTTTCTTTCCTAATTATTCAATGGAGGAGTGCTGACAGTTTGGTTAACAGCTGCAGTGGGGACTGCTAGGATTATTTATAGCTATATCACTTAGTAATAGAAATTCCAGTTCTAGTTACTGCCATAACTCAAGGACTACCTATACTTAGATTTCAAATATAAGGAAAAAAAACATCAATATTATAAGATATAATAATGGACACTCTACTGAAACAAGTTGTGGATTCTCCATCTGGTTAATCACCTCTCAAGACTGGTTTAATTCATTTTCTGCACATTTCAATTTGGAATGGATGATCCTTATGGTTCCTTCCAATTCTATAATTCTGTCTTTAACCAAAATGACAAGTAAGGTTGAAACATCATGATAAGATGTGATTTAACCATTGTTTAGTAAACCATAATGACTGACTTTACATGATAGTTTAAGCAAACACAAATAATTCACATTATGACTTAACATGTTGTATGTTTAAGTTGTATAAACATTACTGAAAAATGAATGTCACTAATAACAGTGATACCTGATTGAATAAATATGCATTAAAATTGGGCTACAAAATAAATCCTAAAATCCTTTTTTAGAAATTCATTTGCAATATACATAATTGTTTATTTTTCTACGAGTATCACGCAGGTTATTGAATTGATGGAAGCTATCCGGATCAGAAAATTAGCCCTTTTTTGTGAAAAGGTTTTGGAAGTTACGCATAGAGATTGGCTAATATGCCCATCTACATGGGAAAAGAGGAATGTTCTTAAAAACACAGCATCTGAACTAAACATCAACGATGAAACTGTTTGTCATTATGAAAATGATGTTTCTGCTGAAGAGAGAGGAAATGAAGGTACAAAATAAATTGGGTTCTTTGTAATAATTGAAATATTGTAACTTAGCGATATGTCTTGTTCAGAAGAGGTAGGTTGGATTTATGCATACTAAATCATGTTTACTTAACTGTAGTTTGCTGAATAAACAACAACTTTCTTGAATCACACATTATGAATGAACTATGGGGACCTAAATGGTCTCTGAGCATGGTTGTTTGCTTGCAGACATTTAATTACCTAACTAGGTAATATCAATGCTAGTGAGTCTGAAGTTTGTTCCCTGTTTCTATACAGAGCTTGTTGCCCTACCAGTGTTGGTGGAGATGTAATTTGTCTCCTTGGTAGTTCTTTGATTAGAGTATTGTTTTTTGTTTGCTTGATTGTTTGCCTGGTGTTAATTCCTGCTTTTATGAGTCTTGGTTGCCAGAGGATACAGATGTGTTCTACTCCTTTTGTTCCATCTTAGCTTTTGGTTGTCTCTTTTGAATAGTGTGTAAATATGGCTTATTTCTCTGTGTCTATTGATGGTTGATTTGTCTAAATACCAATGTCTGATCACTGCTTTCCTTCAGAGATGACAATATAAAATAAAACTCATGTCCTCCTCTTATGGGAAAAGAAAGAAACAGGGAAATTTGCCAAGGTTTCCAGGGCTCGGGTGGAGAGGAGGGGATGAGAATTGACACAGGGATGAGAAGTTCGATAGCAGATTTGTTTCAAGAACAAATTTGAATTAAGGAATTTTGGTCATTTATATATTTTATTTTATCTCAACAGCTCTTGCTTCTGCCAATATAAGAACACCTTATGTTGCTAAACCTTTCCCACATCAAGTTAATCACACAGGTAAGAATGACTTAGCAAAAATGTTATAAGCTATACATTTCATTATTACTATGTTTTTCATAAGCACTGTGAAAGCATTTTTAGAATGAATAATAAAACAAAATGCTAATGACTGTTAAAACATTAGTTTTTTCTCCCCTTTCATATAGTATTCCTTGTCAAGCTGAGGAAATTTAATGCACTAAATCCAAACACTGCTCCAGATGGTATGTGCCAGTTTGAAGACTGTACTTAATCAGAAATAACACATTAGAAGATTTTTTATATATATATGAATATGATTTGGGAAACAACGGATGTGCTTACATTGACTAAGATGCAGTATGTTTTAGTGTGTTTAACAAATAAAAGAAATTTAGATAACAAATATTTTGACATGTATTTTGTGTTTAATTTGCTATTCATTTTGAAACTTGTTAAGTTTTGTTATTCTTCATTTCCAGTAAACCAGTCCATGGATTTATCTCGACTACTTTTTTTCCCATTCTGAGCCCGGTCATCTGTCAAAAAGAATATTTGTGAGCTTAGGGTGTTATTATGGATAAGCAAGCATGCTTTTGTATTCAGGTAGTCCTCAACTTACAACAGTTCCTTTAGTGACCATTCAGTTACAACATCACTGAAAAAAGTAATTTATGGCCATTTTTCACACTTACAACTATTACAATATCTCCATGGTCATGTGATTTACATTTGGATGCTTGACCATTGACTCACATTTATGACAGTTGCAGTGTCCCAGAGTCATGTGATCGCCTTTTGTGACCTTCTGACAAGCAACCTCAATGAGCCATATTTACTTAGCAACTGTGTTACTAATTTAATAGCTGCAGTGATTCACAAGAAATGTGGCAAGAAAAGTCGTAAAAAAGGGCAAAACTCACTTAACAAATTTCTCAACTCAAATTTGTGTTCAATTGTGGTCGTAAACTGTAATTCAGAACAGATTACATAAATAGGAATAACAGAATGCAAAACTTAGCTAGCAAAATAAAATTGTAAAAAGGCTTTCCAGTGAACTATATAGTTGCTTAGACTACTTTCTATTGTTCTTTCTTTTAGCTCATTAACACTAATTTCTTGGTGCATTAGATGTTCTTTCATTAAGTTTAAACCCACTCTGTAGTTTTCATGTAAACACAAAACATTGCCAGCAAGAGAGACATATATGTGATCTCTAAGCATACAACCCTTTTGATTTCTTGCCTATAGTTAGACTAGAAGTTTAAGCATTACAGTAATATTTTATTTCTATGTTCACTTAACTTACCTTGGGAGTGACAATGATGAGATGGATCAAGGAGCATTTTATCTGTTGGATCAAGCAAACCAGGAGTGATCTGTTGCTCCATCATTTCCAGAGTGTCAGTGGAGGAGGAAGATGATAATCCCAGCCTTATATATCGTGTTTTTTTCCCACAAAGTGAACAATCTACAGGTGTGGTATTGGGTCCTCGAGGCAACTGTACTTTGTTTCTGCAACTGTTTCTTATAGCTCCACTATGGTAAAGAGAGCGTTCCCGCTGCCATACATAATGTGTTGAGGCAATTGCCATTACCTGTATCAAAGACTCTTATCTCAGAAAGGATTGCATCGGAACTATCATATAGCAAACAGTGCACAGAAATTATGAAGGCTAGTGGGCAAGATTCATTTTCTTAATTAACAAGAACATAATTATAAAACATCAAAAAACTGCTATTCATTAGCAAAATTGGTCTAATAAGTATAGAGCAAGAGAAAGTGAAGGGGCAGGCACCACTTTCAATGAATGCTACATCTATGTTGGGAAAAAGATGAACCAAAAAATCAAAAGTGTAGAAGAGAGGTTGCATGGAGCACTTAGGGAAGTCCTGACAGCTTCATTCCATGCCCCACTATCTGTGACAGCTTCACCAGCATCTGAGTAAAAGGTGGCTGCTTTTGTGCCATGTGGGCCAGCCTTTTCTGAAACTGGAGATCTTCAAAAAATAAGATCTCCAGAGATATTGAGGTAGGGTGGAGCAAGTGGAATCTGGTGGGCTCGCAAAACAGGCCCAGTGCCTGTGGAGACCCGGTGGGACAGGATGGGGAGGGGAGCAAATATGGGTATCCCAGGGGATTGTAAGCAGAGTATAAGATATCTCAGTGGGCGAGGGAAGACTTTGGGTGGTTGGAAGTAAGTGGCCTGCACTACGCCCCCATGGTCTTCTCCACTCTGAGATTATCTCATGTGTACTTAACAACCTGTGCATTCGATTAATGAATGTGTTGTGGAAAGCAGGAAGGGATCACATATGTGATGATCCAATGAACAAATTCTCAGGTTCTGAATGTAATTGGCAGACTCTATTTGTACATTTGTAACTTGAGCATTACCTGTAGGCAAAACAGCACATTTCCTTTTTTTTTTTTTTTAGCATTAGATCCTCCTGTGCTGTGTAGCATATAGGGAAGCAAGGAATCTCAAGCATTTTTGGTCTTGGGCAAGTACTTCAGCATCTTCCCATGTGATGTTTTCCATGAATGTTCTTCGCCAGGTCATAATCTATGCATGGAGAACGTGATCTGCAAGCTCGAGTGTTTTTGCATGCTGAAACACTTTTGGAGCACTTCTTCATTAGTAATATGGTCGAAATAGTGAATCTTTAGGATTCAGTGAAAGCATCTTGTTGGAAGATATCAAGTCTCTTGTTAATATTTGCTGACACCTTCCAAATCTTGTTGGTATAAATGAATGTCAGGATCACTACAGAAGCAAGCAAACAGAGTTTAAGTTTCAATGATATAGATGATGAGGACCAGATTTTATTCAGCATCTGGAATACAGCTGTTGTTTTTCCCATGCATCACTTGATGTCCATCTCCACATCTCCATTTTGAGCTATTACACTATCCAAAGAAGTAAACCTTTCTATATTCTCAAGTCACTGATCTAAATGTGATTTCCCGTATCTGTGCAGTGGAGCTCACATACATGATCTTCAATTTCTCGGCACTTATCCTGAGTCCAATTTAGGTTGCTTCATCTAAGGCAGTCATCACTTGTAGTTTTGGCTTGTTTTCTTCAAATAGGACAATATCATCTGTAAACTCCAGGTCACCAAGACAGTCTTGGTCAGAATAATGAATGCCTTTCCTGATGCATGATGTTCATAACATAACATAGTCAAGGACCACAAGGAAGAGGAGCAGTGACAGAATACAGCCTTGTCTAACTCTGGTAGTAATTTGGAAGGAGTCTGGATGGCCATTTTCAGTCTTAATTCAGCAGTTTGATTGTAGGTATAAAGATAATAATGAAGACTGTCAATACACCATATAGATGTAGGATCTGTCAGAGAGCTTCTCAGTGGATGCTAAAATGCTTTCTTAAAATCAGTAAAGTTGATGGCCAGTGGATGTCAATGCACAGTTCTATGATGTTTCATAAGGCGAAGTAACAAAAACAGGAAGAATAATCTCAAGAAAATTTAATCAACCTGGCAAGAGTTCTGTTTCAAGTCATATTGCTTATTTGACAGCACTGGAGCAAACTGGCCATGGGGTCTGGTGCCAGAAGTTGAAAATGATCTTCTCAGCCAAGAACATCACACAAGAATTGGGACATGGAATGTGAGAACACTATACCAGGTTGGAAAATCTCAAATTCTGTGGCCCGTGGATGACTACAAGCTAGACATCCGTGGTATCATCAGATCAGGTGGATAGTAGCCAAATTAATAGGAATGGTAAGACCATCATATGCAAGCCATGAAGGGCGGCATGAACATGGGGTTAGCCTTGTTTTAGGAGAATGAGCAACAAAGGCACTTATTGGCTGGAAACTAGTCAGCAATAGAATTGCTCCTTATTTTGTACTGTGTACAAATTTCCAAATAATAGAAACAGTAAAAAATAACAGTCATTTGAAATCCCTTTTTGGCAGAACCAGTAGAAAACTTATAATGCAATGATTATCATCCAGTTGCACTTACATCCATCATTATGAAATGTTTTGAGAGGCTGATAAAGGACATTATTGTTTCCAGCCTCCCTGCAGCATTTGACTCGCTTCAGTTTGCTTAATGTCCAAATCGTCCTGCTATTTCTTGTTATCCATCTGAGCTTGGCACACTTAAGAGGAAAGAAACATGTGTGAATGCTGTTTGTCGATTTTAGCATTTAATTCAATCATTCCTCACCATCTAGTATCCAAACTGGGCCTTTTAGGTTTTGTGCAACTGGATTCTTGATTTTCTTATTGATAGGCTTGAGTATGTGTCAGTTGGGACTAATATTTCTAACATTATTTTCTTGAGCACAGATTCTCCTCAGGGCTATGTCTTAAGTCCGCTGTTGTTTGTCTTGTTGACCCATGACTGTTGTGCTAGGTTTGCCACCAACCATATTGTGAAATATGAGGATGATACAAGGGTAGCAGGCCTTATTTTAGATGACAATGAGGGTGCTTACTCAAGGAAGTTGGAGGTTTGGTGAACTAGTGTAACAAAAACAGCTAGTAACAATTATATAATGTACACTGAGTTCGTATATTATTTCATATTTTTCAATAAGTGATAGTATCATATTTTTTAAAACATGCAATCACTTTGATAAAGGTCAATTATTCATTAGAGTGCTTTCAAAACATGGTATCACTAGCAATTAAAATGAGTAATGGTAATTTTGACAGTATTTAAAAATAACTACTAGAGTTTTGAAAACAAGGAAAGGTGCTGTACTAGAAAACAGAGGTTGTTTATTATAATTGATCCAACCTCTTTCTTAATATAAAACATACTTTTCTTACCTCTTCACAGCAACGTCTGCTTACTATAGCTCTATAACCCATCTTACTCCACAATTCATCCCTCAAAGCCAAGAAATCTGGGAAGTTTTTTCTCCAGGTTTTTCCTAGAGCCCATGGGAAAATCTCATATTTTGACTCTTCATCGTCTTCTTCAACTGTATTTGCAAGGTATCTACAATAACATGTATATGACAATTAAACATAATTTTTAATCAAATGTTTACCTGTAACTCCCATCTTTTTTTCTTACCCTCATTCCCATGTCATTATAGATTGCTCAAAACAATTAAGTTTGGACAAACATCCTTAAGCATATTTCATATTAGGAAAATAGATTATTATTTCTGACATTAGCTTATCTTAACCTAATATTCAGAGTATCAAACTCAGAACTATATGTACAAAGAAAGACAAAAGGCAAAATACAGAAATAGATAAAATTCAGGCATCCTGAAAATCTCAGTTTTAAAAAAAATGAAAGTCTTGCAGTTTCAGAATACAGAAACAAGGCTGAATGGAATTCAAGTTAAAATATCTGGCTTTGATATTTCTAATTGATAATTGATATTTATGTTATATGTGTATTGAAATGATTTATATTGCTGCCATCTTCAAATATAACCCTAGGAAACTAGAAACAATCAGAACAATATAAATATGTAGGAACAAAATTAAAAACCACTCTACTCCAATAAAAGTATCATAATAACAGTGGTGGGTTCCTACCGGTTCAGACGGGTTCAGCTAAACCCGTAGTGGTCTGGCAGCCTGGGTCGCTGGAACCGGCCGCGATCCAGGCCTGCCACACCCCCAAACCTGTTCTCCCATAGGCATCACTATCTTTTTTTTTTTGCTTCTGCGCATGCGCAGAACAATTTTTATTGTACTGCACATGCATGCATCAAACACGCACAAAGTACCCACGCAACCACTAGCAAACTGGCAGTAGTGGCTGCTGGAGCCCACCTCTGCATAACAACCAGCTGCCCACACCAGCGGAGTTCACATTCTGGCCCAGCACCTGGTGGGAAGTGTCAGGTCTTTATAACCTTATGGAAAATTAAGAGAGTGGAAGCCCTTCAGATTTCAGGCAAGAGACCGTTCCATAGGACAGGTGTCACTACAGAGAAGGAACACCTCTCAGTCTTACCAGATGGGGTAAGAGGGGACCTGGAGCACACATGCTCTTTTAGATTTGGTAAGCTGGATGGACAGCCTCAAGGAAAAGTGGATCCTCAAATAAACTGGCCTGGACTTAAAAGGTGATAACGAGCACTTTGAACTGTACTTGAAAGATGACTGGGAGCCACTACAGTGCACACAAAATCAGGAAATTTTGGAGTACCAGAACTGAACCTACCAGTGCAAGCTGGGTCAGCTAAACCTTCAGGGTAGGGAAGGGGGGTCTTCAAGGGCAATCTTGCATTGCAACAGTAAAATCAAGAGGTGACTGAGTGACCCTGAATAGGGCCCCATGGTTATAGCAATAGCACTTAGATTTATATACCGCTTCACAGTGCTTTACAGCCCTCTCTAAGTGGTTTACAGAGTCAGCATGTTGTCCCCAACAATCTGCGAAGTGGGTTATATAAATATGATGTGTAACAAAAGCTAACATTTTTAGAGGAAAATATTCACTTGAATTACACAACTATTACAAGGAATTTGACAACCAGACAACCTAAATGGAGTCCATGTGCCCTTACTATGGCTAAAAGATTGATACTACAGCATTGAAAAGATAAGTGTATGGCCTCATTTACTCATAACATTGAAGACCTGATTACACTTGTCGCCTATGAGAAGATTAGAGATATAGACTTTATATGGACAAGTATAATGGAATATGGAACTCATTTATACAAAATATAGTATGCTAAAAAGAATGAGAGTTATATAAGTATATTAGAAATAAAAATATACACACTTGAATTGTGTTTATATTAAGTACATATAGAATTGTACTGTTTTCTAATGATATAACTTGTTTCTTTTTGTATTTTTTACCTTTTTAAAGCATCTTATGCATTTTTTTCCTTTGAGAATGTACCCATTATAATTATCTTTGTGCTTTATTCATTTTCTGTTACTATTTTAAAAGTAAAAAATTAAATTTAAAAACACCACTCCATCTTGATAGGGTTGTATAATTCCCATTCTTTCAGACTGTCACAGTAACCCTCCAAATGCTCACAATCTCCAGGCGCTTCAACCACATCACTAATCCAGCCTGCTGTAGAGATGTACATCTTGTCAGTGAATAAGAATTTATGAACTGGAATAGCCATAATAACAAGTCAGCCAATGGGAACTGTTTGGTGACTGGGCGTGGCTTAGTTTAATTGTTCTGTATATATAAGAATTCATTTGTCCTTACTTCTACTTCTTGTCCTTGGACTTGCTACTATTTCTTCTCTCTACCATGTTGCAAGAGCTGCATGGTTATTGTATACATGCATCATGTTTTATATTATTGTATATAATAAAAGTTTCTATAAATGAATTTTGTTGAATTATTTAATTGTGTGCTGGCTGGATAGCTACAGACTCTGACACATCTGAATATCATCGGTATACTTATGATACTACACTCCATACTGATTTTGACATCACCCAACAACTTCATGTAAAACCCTGAGGCACCCCTCATAAAAAGTGCCAAGGGCTAGGTCTGTTCCCCTAGTACTGACCAGAAGTGACCATATGATATGATGTGATATAGCCAGGAGATCACTAGGATCAATTGGCTACCATATCTTCAAGGCTTCAGATGTTTCACCTTGAAGTGGCTGTTTCTTTAGCATCATCCAGGGGACACATGTGACTTAAGGAATATCACGGATGCAAACAGTCATCCTGCACTGAACTTGGTTTATTCAGCAGCAGAGTATTGTACTACAGTATGGCTTAATAGACTCTGCACAAATAGGATTGATGCACAATTGCATGAGTTAATGCGCATTGTTATTGGGATGATCAGAAATACTCCCACATATTGGCTGCTTCCTTTGAACCACATATGACTCCCAGAAGTAAGATGAACAAATGTGGTCCTCCAAGAATACTGTCATGGTCCCGTTGGAGCTTGGAAGAGCAGGATGAGGCAGTCCTGAGTCCCTTGGACTTGGGAAGGGTTGCCAATGCAGGAGAGAGGGTACAGGACGACCAAACAAGGAGGGAGGAGAGGGCAGGCAGCAGAGCAGATGAGCCATGGAGCTCCAGCGATGAACAATAACCCACACAATCGCCAAGCATAGAGAATGGAGAGGAGGCAGGTTCAACTCAGGGCAACCTGATGATTGGGGAGAAGGGCACTCCACCCCTCTTAACAAGACTCAATAAAGGGGACTTAAGCCTTTGTTCTGGCTGTGTTGCTTCCATGCCCAGCCTTGGGTCATCACAAATACTTGAAGATTACTTACAACTCTCGGCTACCAATACTGAGAGATGTAGCCTGCCTGGTCGAGCTCCAGATATCCAGCTATTTCAATTGCTAAAGTACTTGTAGAAGATGATTTTGATATACACAATATGTAAAATAAAATTGTTCCCACAATGTTGAAATTTGCCTTGCATTTTGAAAAAAAAACACCTGGATGTGCTAAGTCCCATACGATATGGATAAACACTGAACTGAATTTGCACAGTGGCTATACTAGATGACATGCCCTCTATACCTGGGGCAAAATACCATCATTAAATTGTGACTGCGGGGTAAAAAAACAATCTAGCCAAAATATAGTGACAATGCCAAAATAGAGGCTATAATGGAGACTTTGCTGATTTCCTGGCTGTGACAAATGAAGTAAAAAAAATATATCTGTAATATAGACATACATTTATAATATTTTAGATTTTTTATTTCATATTTTATCTCTTTTTATCAAAATATGATATGAGTGTGCCATACAATAAATAAATGTTTCAACAATACAGGCAGAGTTGGAAACTGGAATTCATGGAACAGTCAAGGAAACCTGGAAAAAGATGTTTCTGGTTTACTGATTCAAATACTCCTGTGTATTGCAAAGCATCTCTTGACAAATTTGTAGAGCCCTATGATATGGCTAATAGTACTTTTCTGGATTTGTTGTAGAACTAGTATCTTAAATCCAAAGCAATTTAGATAATACTGAATTTTGCTACTTCCTCAGAAAGAATTCCCCCTTTTTAACCAATGCATTGTAAATCTTCTGTAAAGTTTCTATAAATGGAAACTCAAATGTAAATATTTTACTGACAGCTACACCATCCACTCAAGGAATTACTTTATGGGTTCTTCAATCACAGGGGTTTGGGAAAGACATAGAAGAAACATTAAAACCTGTTCCTGGAATTTCTGTCTTTTGTCAGGAAAGGGCCCATGAACCTATATTATGTGAGAGTGGGGGGGGAATGTATTTATTTATAGAGATTTTTACAACCCTTCTCATGATATTTACTATGTGATTAGAGAATAATTATAATAGTGGTTAATTTAAATTCAGTTCAGTTCAAATAAACTGGATCCTCACCTAAACAATACTTTCTTGAGGACATTTCTCAACTAAGAAACTTTTATTTATCAGATGTCCTCAATGTAAGAATAATTAAATAACCAAGATATGGGAGTAGGTTTTAATATTTAGAACAATTTAATGTGTTAAAAGTCATCCTGGTATAGAATTCAACTTAAATTGGAAACTATTTCCAGATCAGGACTTAATTCATGGATTTGTACTACATCCAAAGTGGGACAGCTTAATGTATAAAGCATATGTTTCAATTTTACAGATGTATCTAAATTAGGACAGATTCTTAGCACTGTTAATTGGTTTAGGTTTAGGTTTCATTTTATTTATATGCCGCCCTATTCCCAGTGGGACTCAGGGCGGCGCACAAACCCAAGGGGGAAAAGGGAAACACAAAAACTACAAATACAGCATTTAAAAACGACCAACAGCCACACAGATCGAGAGGGGAAGGGAACTCATCAACCCCAGGCCTGCGGACACAGCCAGGTTTTAAGGGCTTTTCGGAAGGCCTGGAGAGAGGTTGTTCATGGTTTATAATTCTGCTTGATGGTTCTTACCCTACAGCTTAATAGTGATTTTTAGTCTTTTAAAGCAATATTTTCACAGGTTCTTTTTTTTAACTGTTTGGCTTAACCCAGACTCAGGAAAGACTCAAAAGCACTGTACCCTGGACAAACGGGTCCTTTGTATATCCCCCCTAAGGGTTGGGAAGCTGTTGTATTTTGTAAAAAACAAACATATGCCAGTGATAAATTTCTTCTTTTTCTTTTAATAGCCAGCATATCGAGCTCTTGCATCTTTTTTACCGTGACCTGACAAATGCGCGCCCGACAACAGCACGCCGACAAAACCGTGCTGATAAAACCGCGACGTCGACAGCGCACCAACAAAGGCGCGCCAACAGAAGCGCGATCAGGGTTAAGGTAAGGGTTAGGGTAAGGGTTAGGGTAAGGGTTGTTTTCGCGTTGTTTGTTGATAGTGTGCTTCTGTCAGCGCTCTTGTCGCGCACCTATGTGGGCATGATTTTGACATCGCGGTTTTCTCGGCGCGGTATTGGCGCGCTTTTGTCATGCGCGCATTTGTCAGTGAACCCTTTTTTACATTGTGCTTTGTCTTGCTGGGGCTCTATACAATATACTTCTTTTCCTCCTTTTGGATCATCCACTGCTTCTAAATGAGAAACACTTTCTTTCATTTAGCTGCTCTACTCTGTTTATTATTGGGTGCAGAGCTTCAAAACCCTCATACCTTTGCCAAGGTTGCACCTTTATTGGCAACTCTTGCTGTGTTGGTGCTAAGAGAAAACTCAGATGGGAAGGAAAGTAGGGAGTATAGATGCCTGCAATTCTTTCAAACAGCTTCCTTGTGCACATATCCTATCTCTTTTGAAAGGAATTTGATTTTTTTTTCATGTGGTTAGTGTACTCATCTTTACCATTCAGTGATAAGAAATCAGTAGTGAGGTTTTGCTGTTGCTTGATGTACAATATTACATTTGATATGGTTGTAGTGTCAGATACCATCTAGTCAGACATGAATTGGTATCCTTCATTTGTTGCAGCCCATGTGGGTAAATACATAGAAATATATAAGTGAATAAATCCACACGTATATTTAGTTATTTATAATTAGTGATCTACTAGAAATCATATGGTCCAAGATATTATTTGTTGATTCTTCTGTATTTTATATTTTATCCCTTTTTCTTGACCCCACACATGATTTTATGAATGTCTAATAAAATGTACTAAGTTATGTGGATGATTCTCTTTAAAGGATTATTAAATTGTTAGGGAGAAGAATAAAGCTTACTTAACTTTTCAGTAATTTTCAGAAGTTTATATATAAAATGTAGATTTTTTTCTTAATAAAATACTGTTTTGACATCAAATCAATAGTTTGCTTTTACTGTGGACAACTTAAAGCTGAGTTCAACATTCTCATTTAATGGTGGCTATACAACCCTTTTGTGCTATTCAATGGCACAATTAAGAGGAATGCAGGCATGAAATCTTCCAGCCCTGCCAGATTTGGATAGCTTAATAATTAAGATTTGTTACTTAATAAAGGGAAAATACTACTTTAAAAAAGTGTATACTATATCCTGATTTAGTATTATGCATGAACATCAGCAATTGTTCCTATTTAATAAATTATGATAAAACAAATCCCATAACATAGTCATGAGTCTTGTCTACCAAATAGCATTCTAAGGATGCTTATAATTACTGCCAAAATCTGACTTCATAGATTTTCACTTTGACAGAAGCAAATTGTGCAAAAATACTATTTGGTCCAAATAGTGGACCAAATAGAAAATAAGTACAATATTAGAAAATTATATATTTAAAACACAAATAGTGGGTTTTAATTATATAATTGCCTAATGTTATACTTATTTTCCTAAAATTTAGTAGTCTCTAGTTTTGGCATATAAAGAATTTTCATTAAGGTTGTTTTTAAATTGTAAACATTTATTAATTTTTCCCACTGAAATTTAGAAAATTAAATGAAGTTTGCGCCTTATACTTAAGGTGAAATGTGAAGCCTATTCAAATCAGGAAGTGTAAGCACCTAATTGGATTATAAAACTCCAAAAATATATACTGAAATATATATACTGAATATATATTGAAAAAGAAATTGAAAGTTAGATAACCACTCTGGTAGAGAATTACCAGTAATAGGGCTCTATTGCCCCTAGTCATTTTTTTTTTTTACAAAACAAGATTACACACCATGACTATATATTTTTGGAGATTTTCTGTGAATATAAAATATAAATATTTCCATTCTTAACTTTCATTTTAAAATATTAGAAATCTGCAGAAATCAGTTACTCTTCAACTTAGTTTTGACAAGCAAGCTGGGCTCATACACCATTTTACAAATTAAATTTCTATCAGCCTATTAATCCTAAACTGCTTCAAGATATAAATATTATAAATATAATTATAAATATTGTAAATGTATAAATCTAAATATTTATTCATTGGAGTCAGCAAGGCTTTGTTATAACTACTCTTCTCTCAAATAATAAATTCTCTCTCTTGCACTTTAATCACAACTATAAAGTTTAGAGTTACTTACAGAGCAACAAAGAAATTAAGCCTGGTGTGTTCGTTTATACTATAGCCAGCCCTCTTGAAATAAACAAAAGTCATTGCCAAAAGATACTGTTGAAAGAAAGTAGAATGTTAATGTTCCTCTTTTCCCTTTGGTCAAATGACAAAAGTCATTTGATAAAATCAACAGAAAAAAAAGTATTAACCAAAAAAAATTTTTTTT